AATATAATTAACAACAGTAACAATGTGAAAGCAGGGACAGAGCTTTAAAAGAACAGTTTTATATGCTATTGAAGCTAAATTGCCAACAAAATTAGATTATTATACATTTAGATGAAAACAACCCAACGACAATGGAAGAAGGAACAAAGGGATAGATACATATGATGGAAAATTACTCAGCCATAAAAATAAATGAAGTACTGATACATGCTACAAGTATATGAACCTCAAAAAAAATTATGCTAAGTGAAGGAAGCCAGACACGCAGACCACATATTATATGATTCCATTTACATGAAATAACTAGATTGGTAAACTAATGGAGACAGAAAGTAGACTGGTGATTGCCAAGAAAAATAGGAATGACTATTTAATGGGTATGAGATTTTTGAAGTGATAAAAATATTTGTAGGTGCTGGTTTCACAACATTGTAAATGTACCAAATGTCACTGTATTCTATACTTTAAATTGTTCGCTTCATTTTATGTTAATTTCATCTTGATTTAAAAAAATAAAGCCTTAATGATGCAAAAACATGAAAATATTCACAGTGACCTACAGTTATACACAGCATTACAAAAAAAAGTAAATATAAGAAGAAAATATCAGAGTGGATTTTGCACAGTAAAGGTAAGTAATGTTTTATATAAAACTCTTGTTTTAGCTATAGGCAGTTTTTGTATGTATTAGTTTATTAGGTGACAATGTAAAACATATTTCTTACTGTGTTTTACAACAAAAACATTAAAAGTCCCTTAAAATGATCTTCTATTACAATTGTCAAATTATCCTTCTGTGAGAGCCATTAAAGTGTGCAATTCTAATCTCCTTTCACGAAAGAGTGCAGTTGCTCTGTGAGGAGTGCAGTTAGCTGACAGCCTTCAACTGTATTGCTTTCAGGATCTGTTAAAGTCTTCACTTCGTTAAATGGTATTGAGAAAAGTGGACAGCCACATGCAAAATAATGCAACTGGACCACTATCTTAGACCATACACGAAAATGAACTCAAGAAGGACTGAAAACTTGAAGATAAGACCTGAAACCATAAAACTACTAGAAGAAAACATACAGTAAGCTCCTTGGTACCAGCCTTGGCAAAAATACTTAAAATTTGGCACTAATAGGAAAGGCAACAAAAGCAAAAATAAGCAGTGGGATTACATCAAACTAAAACACTTCTCTGCACATCAAAGAAAACCATCAACAAAATGTAAAGTTAACCCACAGAATGGGAGAAAATATTTCTTTATCTTTAACTCTGATAAAGGGTTAAACACCTAAAGAACTCACACATCCCAACAGCAAAAAAAAAAAAAAAAAAAAAAATCTGATTTTAAAGTGGGCAGAGAAACCGAACAGACATATTTTCAAAGAAGACACACAAATGGTCAACACATACGTGAAAGGGTTCTCAACATCACTAATCCTCAAGGAAATGTAAGTTAAAACCACAATGAGATGTCATCTCACATCTACTAGGATGGCTGTCATCAGACAGCCAAAAACACAAGACATAGATGTTGGCAAGGATGTGAAGAAAGGGGAACTCTACTCTACTGGTCCTGGAATTTAGTTTGGTCTAGTCACTGTGGAAAAGAGTATGGAGATTTCTCAAAAAATTAACAATAGAATTACCATATGATCCAGTAAGTCTACTGCTGAATGTAAATCTGAAGGAAATGAAATCTCTCTCTGAAGGAGATAATAGCACTCCCATGTTGATAGTAGCCTCATTTATAATCACCAAGATATGGGAACAACTTAAGTGTCCACTGATAGATAAAAAAAAGTGGTGTATATTTACAATAGAATATTATTCAGCCATAAAAGAGAAGGAAACCCTTCCATCTGTGACAATGTGGACGGTCCTTGAGGCACTATAATAAATGAAATATAACAAAGAACAGATTGGTCATTTGACAAAGGAGGGGCACAGGGAGGAGAGAAATGGGTGAAGGTAATCAAAAGGTACAAACTTCCAGTTATAAAAAAATAAGTTCTGGGGATGTAATGTACAACATGGTGACTATATAATTATTATATTTAATAATTACAGTTAATAATACTGTATTACATATTTAAAAGTTGTTAAGAGAGTAGATCTTATAAGCTCCCATCACAATAAAAAGAATTTTAACTGTGTGGTGTTGGATGTTAACTAGACATTGTAGTGATCATTTCACAATATATAAATAGATCATTATTTACATCTGAAACTAATATCATGTTATATGTCAATTATATCTCCATTTAAAAATCTTTTAAATAGCCCCGGCTGGTGTAGCTCAGTGGATTGAGCGTAGGCCTATGAACAAAAGGGTTGTGGTTCAATTTCCAGTCAGGGCACATGCCTGGGTTGCAGGCCAGTTCCCAGAAGGGGACACATGAGAGGCAACCATACCTTAATATTTCTCTCTCTCTCTCCTTCCCCTCTAAAGATAAATAAAATCTTTTTAAAAATCTTTTAAATAATAAAATTTTAAGACTTTGAGTCAAAGTCACATTTTTTCCAGGCAGGCCCCACATGATGTATTCCAGCAAGTACCCATCCACTTCTGCCCAGTAAAGGACTCCCCTGATAAGCTACCTTAAATCTCCCTTTTGGGTTAGCCAATACCTCGTCAATTCTACATTGCAATTTTAGCCTCCCTCTACCCAATTTTGTTTCCTTTTCCCCTGTTCATTAAAAAAATGTCAGATCTGCATCAGGGTCTGAAGATTTACCAGACTCAATACCACCTCATCTCCCTTAAATTTTCACAAGCCTTATCTCCCAGTAAATATCTTACACTCCTAAAATCCATCTTACCCTAACCTTCCTGCAGGATCTGAACTTATACATCTTCATAGCACTTACTGTAATTTGTAATGTTGTTTATATGTTTGTTTGTATATTATCTCTATTACATTGCATTCTCCTTCAGTGGCAGTCTTTTCCACTGAAGGGGTCTGCTCTCATAAAGCCTGGATAGCCTCCTTGTTGACTCCATCCTCATCCTTCCTCTAGGCCCAGACAAGGCAGTAGTGGTTGTATAGCTTTATCTTACATAAGGGACCTCAAAAGAGAGGACTAAAACCCCATTTCAGAGGGGGGACCCCCCCTAAAACCCCTTCAGATTGAGAAGGGTAGGACTTCTCAATCTTGGCAGTATTGACATTTTAGATTGGCTAATTCTTTGTAGTGCAGTGGTTGTTTTGCACACTATGGGATGTTTAGTAGCATTCCTAAACATCTAATCTTCTACTAGATGTCAATGGCCTGTGTCAGTTGTGACATTTATGTTTACATGTCCCCAGGGGTGGAGGGGTAGGGGCAAGTCCCTTCTGGTTGAGAAACACTGGCCTTGAAAAAACAACATCTTTTTTCTAATTCTCCCCAAAATGCCATATGGTGAATTAGTACCCCTCCTATAATTTATCATGGTTCAGGCTAAGCAGATGCAGGCTAAGCAGCCCCAGATGATTTAGCAGCAACTCCCACACAGTCCCTTGGTTGTATGTCTGTACTTTGGACTCTAGGGGAGACTGCATGTGCTCTTATGAGTTACAGACTTACGACTGGACAGAAAACCTCAGGTGGCTGACCTTGAAACTAAGGGAAGCTTTCCACTCCTGGCAGACAGGAAAACTTAAAGGAGGGCCCATCCAGGGAGTCACCACTGGTGTCCCAATGGACAAATGAACATTCCTTTGGCCTCTATGTCTTCTCATCACAAACTGTTTTATCCAGTTGTGCTTGGAAAATCATTAGTCATCTTTATGTAAATTCCTGTTGCTGGTCACCCTGAAGCATGCTACATACTGGTTACTTCTTACATGAGCAGTGCCTAACTTTAAAAAAGTCTATAATTCTGAGTGACTGACCTTAATATTTCAAGGTACCTATTTTGGCTTAATGTGTGAGCCTTAGCTATCTTCATCATCCAGCATAGAACCTCTAATTATTTCAGATGATTTGCAGTATGAATGCCATCTCTTCTAAGTTTTTCTGTTCCACAAAGTGTATTTCATACTTGCCACTTAACACAGATTTTAAGTTTGGCTTTAAGTTTGGCTTTTCCCACAAATCTGCTGTAAATCCATGCCCTGCCATTTCCTCATTATGTTCCACAAGCAGAAACTTCACTTTGTCTCTGGATTTGCTTCGCCCCACCCCACCCCAGCTGGTTTTATTTCCTCACTTGTATTCATTTGCATCACACTTCAAATGTATATTTTAGATTCTGAATATTCGGTGTGCACGACCTAGTGGATACAGGATTTAGAAAGGGAGATTGCAAGGCACTTTAATAAAACCCTTCAACCTTTCAGTGCAGTCTTAATGGAGAAACGCGACGTATGCCTCTAGAATGTTGAGGAATTTTCACGAACGAGACACAGAACAAACTTCTGTCCCAAATGCCGGGGGGATGGAGGGAGCGGGGCAGAATTCGTGGAGAGAAGACGCAGGGCTGGAAGTGGAAAGGGTTTAGGGCTGAAAACCCGTATTACTCATGCGGCTCTTCCTTGTCAGCGAGTAAGACTGAAACAAGGCGCTCTGTACAATGCCTCCAGCCAGCGACTGCATGCTGCAGGGGCGCTGGAACAAAAATACACCAAACTTCCCGGTGGTTAATTCAAGGGACAGCACCACTGAGTACAGGGCTCATTCGAGGAGCCACTGTCACAAACTACACCGCAACTCAAAGTCATACTTTCTGAGATAATAGATCAAACTAAATATCCCAACACCGAGTATAAATCTGCACTCAGTCCATTATCTCCTCAAAAACAAGACGTTCCCTCTGGGTCTCAAATGCCCGATACCTTGAGAAAACCATAAGCTTTGTCGAACGTACTCAGCAGCCTTTTACCCAAGCGCCACGAGGGAGCGAGCGGACTAGGAACAACCGCAGCCGCGAAGGACCAAACTTTAAAACCCGGAGCGCGCAGGCGACGTAGGACGTACACCAGTCTGGCGCGGACCTCCCTGCCGCAGAGCCTAATGGGTGGAGCGGTGGAGCGCACGAAGGCGCGCGTCGCTGGAATAGGAAACTAATTCTGAGGAGGACTGGAGGGGCGCTCTCGGTACCCATGGTAACTAGAGTTACCGACCTTTTGTGGAAATTGTATTGCCTACGCCGGTGCAGGGGCCGCCTGAGACGCACAGTGACGCAATTCCTGAGCGCGCCGGTGCCGGGTTGGCTGGAGGGCGGGCTCTTCAAATTTGAATCTTACAGAGTTGTTGGTGTTAAGGAACTCCCGGCTGCTGTTTGGGGCTGGTTGGGGCCGCCGTGAGCCCCTGGTGTTACCCTGAGACCCCTGGGCTTGCATCCACAGTAAGCCAAGTCGGGACTGCTTGGTCTCTCCCTGCCAGGCCCTTTACACCAGGTACGGCCTCCTCTCCAGGTACGGTCTTCTCTCCCTCCGCTCGCCTGCTGCCGCCGAGCACCTCTGGCGCTGCGCGTCCCAGCCCTTAAGCATTCTAGGTCTTCGAGGGCTTTGTAACATTTCTTGGCAGTAGTTTCACAACTACGCACTTACTCGGTATGTGCATTTGTTGCGTGTCTACTGCATATCAAGAAAGTAGCCCACTTTCGTTCACATTTTTTTTTTCCAGATTGTTTTGATGATGTGTGCTCTACGCCTTTGTTCTAGAATCACTTCTGGAGGGGACGGGGGACTTGACTTTAGAAAGATTATCAAGGAGGAAAATTGTGTGCATCACTGCCCGGTTTTTCACCTTGGAACCCAAGATCCACAGGGCTATAGAAACAGTTGATCCATCCAGCTTTTGTTTTGTTATGATTAAATTGTATATTGGTTGCAAACATTTTTAGATGTTAAAACTTGATTGGAAGATGGAAGGGCCCCTTCATCCTACTCTTCACATATAAACACTGCTTACAGTTTGGTACAGTTTCGGATTTTCCTCCTGTTCTTATGCTCCTGTGTGTTTGTGTGTCTGTCTGTGTGTCTGTGTTAGTTACCTTAACGTGTTCTGTTCAGCTGCTGCTTTTTTATTTAATATACCTTGGCTATTTTTATGTCATCATATAATGTGTTTTTATTGAGTACATAGAATTCAGTTGTATGGATGTAGGAGAATTTTGTCCCGTATTGGACATTTAGATTGTTTCTAGTTTCTTTCGTATTGTGGTGGACGTCCTTATTACAGTGCCTGTTTATATATTGCACAGATCATTTATATATTGCAATTATATAACAAACCATAAATGCAATTGTATAGCAGGTCATCTAGGATCTTAATTTCTAGGTGTCAGATATAAAATTTGTATGTAAGAAACCAGCTAAAACAAGTGTAAGATCATGTATGCTCAAGTACATGATTCCCCTGAAAAATTCTAAATAGCATGAAAAAAAATTTTAATAAGAATGATTTGAGGGCTTTTCAACTAAAATCTCAAGTTGGAATGTTCTGTGACATAACAAAATCGGGACTGGGGATTATTTACCTAAATACTTTAGTTGATTTTTCATACTTTATTAGGATATGTGATTGTATCTGCTGTCTTAAAATTGAAGTACCTAAAGGGAAAAACCATGTTTGTGAAACTTAGTCTTTTATAAGCTAATATACTGCCATATGCAGGTGTCCTTTAATGCTTTTTGATGCTAATACTAGCTTGGAACCTCTCAGACTTGAGGTTTAAGTAAATTTCAAAAATGACATTCACAATTCAATTCTTAGAGCTATTAAGTAGATGTTAGTTTTTGTCAAAAGATTATCTTTTGTTAAAAGATTATTCAATAGATAAACTTTATTGGAAAATAATAAAATGAGATTTAACAAAAATATAAAATCTTAATCTGACTTGTGAGCCATAGATTATCCAGTGTTATTATGATGCAGTTAAGCCTTTTCATTAGTATAATGTTGTTATGGAAAGCAAATAAACTTAACTTTTTTTGTACCGAAGCATGATAAAGGTTGATTTGACATTGAATTACAGGTTCTTCTGGGCCCCTGCTGAAGATCTGTCCTTAAAATTGTGTCTGAATAAATTTTCTAATAGAGGAAGTCCTGTTTATCAAGATGATTACAACACCTTTGAAACGTCCAGGAATTCACTTGCCCTCAGAGACATCTTCTCAGAGGAAAAATATGCCCATTCATGCGGTCTTTTTTGACAGCATTCCTCCAGGCACACTTACTCCTATAAAAGATTTGCTGAAATATCAGAACTCCTTTTTAAAATTGAATGACCATAAAGAGAACCAATTCTTGGAAATGCCCATTTCTAAAGATAAAAATGTATTTCAGTCTACCATGATAGCAGAGCCTAGCACCTCTAATAGTTTTCTTGACATCAGTATTATCAAGCCTAACAAGGATGTATTGAAAAATAAAGCAAACTATGAATCACCAGTAAAAGTATTTCAAAGAATGAAAGAAAAAGTACTGCGTAACAAGCAAGAACAAGCATCAAGAAACAGTAATTTGTTGGAACCACCGAAAAGTGAAAGTAACAAAATTTTCACACTTAATGGAGCTGAGAAAAGAGTGTTACAGCATACGTACCTTTGTGAACAAAAGGAAACCAACAAATCGCTTCATTCAGAAAACAGCTCATTAAAAGGTTAGTTATGTGTTGGTTAAAAAGCTATAATGTGTTATTCATTGTATACAGCACTATTTTAGGTACTCAGTATACAGAAGTGAACAAAATTAGTAAGAATCCCTGCCCTCGTGTAGCTAATTCACATTCAGGTGGTGGGGGACAGATACAGTAAGTAATTTTATGGTACAGTAGAAGAGAAGTGCTATGGAAAGAAAAAGAAGGATGATGGGGATAGTTACAGCAGGTTATAATTTTCATTTTGGCGTCAGGGTAAGCTCCAAAGAGAAGTTGACTTTTGTGCTGAAAAATTGAAGAGGATGATAGGTATCTTGGGGAATGGGGAAGGATGATCTAGGTAGGTATCAGATGTTACACATGCCCTGAAATTTCTATATTATTTCAGGAGCATGCCTCACAAATTCAAGGACTAGCTGTGAGATTAATGTATTGTGGAGTGAGTCTGCAGAGCTGGGGAGGTGGAGATAAATAATCGGGTTGGATAATGTAAGGCCTTTAGGTCAACATAAGAGTTTGTGCTTTTACTATGAGCAAAATAAGGAGCCATTGGAAGGTTTTGAGTAGAGAAGTGACAAGACCTGACTTACATTTTTAAAATATCACTCTGGCTGTTAATTTGAAATGGTTACTGCAGTAATACAGGTGAAAGATGGTGTTGTCCAGGTAGTATCAGTGAAGGTAAGTAGAGGTGGTTGAATTCTGGATATATTGTAAAAGAAAAGCCAATCACATTAGTCCATATATGGGATATGGAATGTTAGAGAGATATAAAGGATGACTCCAGAGGGCGGGTTTTTTTATTTGTTTGATTTTGTTATTACCTAAGCAACTGGAAAGATGGGGTGATTGAACTGAAATGGTGCAGACTGAAAGAGTGAGATCAAGATTGGTTATTTTTGTCACATGAATTTGATATGTCTGTTAAAAATTGAAGTGTAGATGTGAATTAGGCTATTGGAAAAATATTAGTTGGAATTCAGGGAAGTACCATATTTTTCCATTTATAATGCATTCCCATGTATAAGGTGCTCCCGTGTATAACATGCACCAGTGTTTTTGGCCCAAATTTTCAGGAAAAAAAATCTTTCACTTTAAATTTTAAATTTAATTATTTATTTATTTATATTTAGATGCTTATTTTTTTATTATAAAGGAATTTTAACATTTTTTGACATGGATATTGTTATTGCTTTCTAGAGTTACACTTAGCGCATAAGCATAAGAAACATTTATATAGATATGGAATCTGTACTACCCATGTATAATGAGCATCCTTATTCTTCCCTCAAAAGCTTGGGGGGAAAAGTGCATTATACACACCAATATACAGTAGACCAGGTGAGAAAAATTGGGAATCATTAGCACCTAAATGGTCTTTAAAGTTATAAGGTAAGATGGAATCATCAAGGAATGAGTGTAGAAAGAAAACATTGAAGAATGAGTCCTGGGGCACTTAAAAATTTGGAAGTTAGAATACAAGATGTAAAGTAGTGAAGGCCACTTAGAAGATGAGGAGTGATACTTTGGAAGCCAAAATAACAAAATGCTTTAGAGTCATTAGCTGTGTCTAATACTGCTAATCAGTCAGGTAAGATGAAGGCTGAAATTTGACCACTGGGTTTAAAAATGTGGATGTTGGCGCTGGCTATTGTGGATGTTGGCTCAGTGGACTGAGTGTGAATCTGCGAAGCAGAGGGTTCATGGGTTTAATTCCCAGTCAGGGGATGTGCCTGGGTTGTGGGCCAGGTTCCTAGTAGGGGACACATGAGAGGCAACCACACACTGATGTTTCTCTCCCTCCTTTCCCCTCTCTCTAAAAATAAATAAATCTTAAAAAAAACCATGAAACAAACAAGCAAACAGAATAAAAACAAAGACACTGAAATAGAGAACAAGTGGGCAGCAACCAGAGGGGAGAGGGAAAGGAATTTAAGGGGAAAAATGGGGAGGGATTTTGAGGAACAAGTATGAAAAACACAGGGATGAGGACTGGGGGGGCGGGAAATGGGAGGGAGGTGGGGAGATGGGGCAGGGGGGGCTGGGATGGGAGAAATAGACAAAAAACTGTACTTGAAAAATAACTAAATAAAATTAAAATAAAATTGTGTTTACAAAAAAAAACATGGATGTTATTGGTGACTTTGATGAGAGCAGTTTTGGTTGAGTAATAGAAGCAAAAACGTAATAGAAGAGGGCTCAAGAGGGAATGTGCAGAGAGAAATTAACGGTAGTGAATATAGACAACTCTTCTGAGGAGAGCTAAGAAATATGGGGAAGTATGTTTTTAACAGACTTTATTGTTTTTAATGATTGGTGAGATATCATTTTTGTATGCTCTTGGGAATAATCCAGTAGAGAAGGAAAAACAGATTGGAAGCCTAATACCCTTGAGTAGCTGAGAGGGAATAAAATCTGAAAGTGGAGATTTGGTCTTAGTTAGGAACATAAACAGATCATAAATCAAACAAAAAGATAGGCAGTGTTGTATGACTTCAGATATAATCTGAAATGGAGAGTAAAGTCATCAGCTGAGAGTGAATATAGGAAGCAGACATTGAAATTCGAGGAGGTGGAGGTTTGAATAGTGTAGGAGAGTGGAAGAGTGAATGGTCAAAGCTTAAATTTGATCTCCTGGTCAACACTAAGAACCTACTTGAGATTTGCGGGCATGAATTTAAATGAAACCAATCAGTATGGTTGTGAGTTTTCCTCTCACCCTGTTAGCTACTTAGGTGCTGGTGGGAAATAGGGAGTTGGATTTTATCAGGATTATAATTTTGCCAAGTAGGATGAAGTGAGAAAAAAAACACAGTAGTTGAGGTTGTGTGTGCAAGGTGGTAACCACAATTGGCCATAAATTTAAGTTGTTTAGACAAGGAAAAGAGGACCTAAAGGAGATAAAGAAGTGCAAAGAAGTGTAGGTCTCATGGGGATACTAAGCATATTTGAGAGAATGATCTGGAAAGATAGAAAGTGGTCAGAAATAGAACCTGAACGATTTTAGTGAGTTGCAGTAATTAATAAAGATATTTTACATGTGTTACCTCATTTAATCCTTTTAGCACAACCTTTTCTCCACAATCTCATCAACATTTGTTATTACCTGTCTTGTTGATGACAGCCATTCTAATAGGTGTGAGTTGTATATTATTGTAGTTTTTATTTGCATTTCCCTAATAGCCAGTGAAGTTCAACACTTTCTCATATATCTGATGGCCATTTGTATATCTTCTTAGGAGAGGTGGCTGTTCAGGTCCTCTGCTCATATTTTAATTAGATTGTTTGTTTGGTGTTGATTAGTATGAGTTCTTTATATATTTTGGATATTAGCCCCTTATTGGAGCTGTTTGCAACAGCATCTCCCATTTGGTTGGTTGCCTTTTTGTTGTCAATTTCTTTTGCTGTGCAGAAAATTTTTAGTTTGATATAGTCTCATTCATTTATTTTTGCCTTTACTTTCCTTGCCTTTGGGGTCAGATTCATACCACGTTCTATACTACCTGGGTCCATAAGTTTAGTACCTATGTTTTCTTCTATATATTTCATTGTCTCAGGTCTGATATTTAGGTCTTTGATCCACTTTGAATTAATTTTTGTACATGGTACAAACTGTAGTCTAGTTTTCTTATTTTGTATGCAGCTTTCCAATTTTCCCAGCACCGTTTATTGAACAGGCTTTCTTTTTTTACACTGTGTTTTGGCTTCTTTGTCAAAAATGATTTGCGCCCTGGCTGGCATAGCTCAGTGGATTGAGCGCGGGCCTGCGAACCATGCGGTCGCGGTTTGATTCCCAGTCAGGGCACATGCCTGGGTTGCAGGCCAGTTCCCAGTAGGGGACACATGAGAGGCAACCATACATTGATGTTTCTCTCCTTCTCTTTCTCCTTCCCTTCCTCTCTCTCTGAAAATAAATAAAATATTTAAAAAAAAATGATTTGCATGTGTACCTGCAGTTTTATTTCTGGGCTTTCGGTTTTGTTCCACGGGTTAGTGTGTTTATTCTGCCAATACCATGCTGTTTTGATTATCATAGCTTTGTAGTATAACTTGAAGTCAGGTAGTGTGATGCCTTTATTCTTTTTTATCAGGATTTCTTTGGCTATTTGGGGTCTCTTGTGATTCCATACAAATCTGGTGATTTTTTTGTTCTATTTCTTTAAAAAATGACATTGGAATTTTGATGGGGATTGCATTAAATCTATATGTCACTTTAAGTAATATGCCCATTTTAACTATGTTGATTCTTCTATCCATAAACATGGAATATCTTTTTATTTCATTGTGTCTATTTCAATCTCTTTTAATACTCTATTGTAGTTTTCTGTATATAGGTCCTTCATATCCTTTGACAAGTTTACTCCTAGGTATTTTATTTTACTTAATTTTATTTTAAAGTATATTTTATTGATTATTTTGTTAAACTTAACCTAATTTGCTTCCCCTCTGTCCCATTCCACCTAGTACCCCACTTTCCTCTAGCTGTCCCTCCCCTTAGTTCATGTCCATGGGTAATGCAAATAAGTTCCTTGGTTTCTCCATTCCCTATACTGTTCTTAACATCCCCTTGTGTGTTTTGTACCTACCAATCATGCTTTTTAATCCCTGTACCTTGTCCCCCATGCTGTCCCTTCCCCCTCCCAGCTGATAACCCTCATGATCTCCATGTCTATGATTCTGTTCCTGTTCTAGTCGATTGCTTAGTTTGTTTTTGTTTTTTTACATTCATTTGTTGAGAGTTGTGAATTTGTTGTCATTTTAATGTTTGTAGTTTTGATCTTCTTTTTCTTAGATAAGTCCCTTTAATATTTCATGTAATAATGACTTGGTGATGATGAACTCTAACTTTACTTTGTCTGGGAAGCATGTTATCTGCCCTTCCATTCTAAATGAAAGCTTTGCTGGATAGAGCAATCTTGGATGTAGGTCCTTGCTTTTCATGACTTTGAATACTTCTTTCCAGCCCCTTCTTGCAAAGTTTCTTTTGAGAAATCAGCTGATAATCTTATGGGGACTCCTTTGTAGGTAACTCTCTACTTTTCTCTTGCTGCTTTAAGATTCTCTCTTTATCTTTAACCTTTGGCATTTTAATTATGTGTTTTGGTGTGTTCCTCTTTGGATCCAACTTGTTTGGAACTCTGTGTGCTTCCTGGACTTGCATATTTATTTCCTTTGCCAAATTAGGAAAGTTTTCTTTCATTTTTTAAAATAAACTTTCAGTTTCTTGCTCTTCCTCTTTTCCTTTTGACATTCCTATGATTCAGATGTTGGCACTTTTTGAGATATCCCAGAGTCTTATATTCTCCTTGGGGTTTTTTTGTTTGTTTGTTTTTGTACTTGTTTTGTTTTTTAATTTTTGTTTCTTCATTCTGTTCTGGTTGAATTTTTATTTCTTCCATATGTTCCAAATTGTTGATTTAAATCCTGGCTTTCTTCCCTTCACTGTTGGTTCCCTGTGGATTTTTCTTTATTTCATTTGTTATAGCCTTTATTTCTTTCCTTATGTTTTTGTTGTACTCAATAATTTCTCTCAGCATTCTTATCACACATATTTTGAACTCTGCATCTGTCTCCATTTTGCTTAGTTCTTTTTCTGAGGTTTTGTTCTGTGTTTTCACCTGGGCCATATTTCTTTGTCTCCCCAAGTTGGCAGCCTCCCTGTATTTAAGTCTGTGTATTAGGTAGAGCTGCTTTGACTCCCTGTCTTAACACAACGATTAAGTTGTAAGGAGTGGAGCCTTAAGTATTCACCAGGGTGGGGCATCCCGCTTCACTGTTTTGTGGTGCTGTGTGTGGACAAGGGGTTGGAGAGGGGGCAGTGCCACTGCCTGGCCTCTGTAGACTTACCCAGCATTTGCCCCATTTTCAATTGCTTCAGCCATTTCTCATATGCTACTGGTCCCCTTCTAGCTGCTTCCTTGGTGATGATTCCCAGAGTGGGTGGGTTTGACTATGTTCTAGAACCATGCAGGCCCTTTAAATGGACCCTCCTGAGAAATTGGCAGTTTCTTCCACTGTCCCAACCCCCACTGCTTTTTATAGCCAGAAGTCGTGAAACTTTTTATCTTCCCAATGCTGGAACCCTGGGCTGCACAGTCTGACTTGGGGCTGGGATTGCTTTCTCCCAATGTTTCCCTCCTGATTTTTATCCACTACATATGAATGTGGGTCTGCCTGTTCTGCTGGCTCTCCACACTGCACCGTATCCTCTCCACCCCAGCTCCCCGTCTCCGCCCCTCCTACTGGTCTGGATGAATGTGACTTCTTTAAATCCTTGGTTGTTGGACTTCCATATAGTTCAGTTTTCTGGCAGTTCTGGGTGCTCTTTGTTTAGGGGTTAGTTGTGATTCTCTTTCTTCTTTTCACTGTTGGTTCCACATGGATTTTTCTTTACTTCACTTGTTGTAGCCTTTATTTCTTTCCTTATGTTTTTGCCATACTCAATAATTTCTCTATGTTTTGTATGTTCTAGAACCATGCAGGCCTCTTTGTGGTTGTGCAAGGAGGGGAAGTGTGTCTACGTATGCCTCCATCTTGACTGGAAGTCTGTTTTATTTTTATATTTTACTTTGGTTGAAATTGCAAAAGGAATCTTTTTCTGAAATTTTATTGATAGTATATAGGAAAGCAGTGGATTTTTATACATTGACTTTGTATACTGCAACTTTACTGTATTTGTTTATTGTTTCAGATAGTTTTTGGTGGAGTCTTTTGGGTTTTCTACATACAGAATCATGTCATCTGCAAAAAGTGATACTTTTACTTCTTCCGTCCCACTTTGGATACTTGTATGTCTTTCGCTTGCCTGATTTCTCTGGCTAGGATTTCCAAAACTGTATTGAATATGGGTAGTAAGGGTAGGTATCCTTGTCTTTTCCTAATTTTATTGGAAAAGCTTTCAGTTTTTCACCATTGATTATTATATTAACTGAGGATTTGTCATATATGGCCTTTATTATGTTGTGGTACCTTCCTTTTATATCCATTTTTTGAGTGTTTTTTAATGTATTGTTGTGTTTTATTTGCTCATATTTTGTTTAGGATTTTTGTATCCATATTCATTAGTAATACTGGTCTGTAGTTTTCTTTTTTAGTGTTACTTTTGCCAAGTTCTGGTACCATGGGTATGTTGGCCTCATCAAAAGTGTAAGGAAGTATTGCGTCTTCAGTTTGTTTGGGAGAGTTTGAGGATAGGTATCAAATATTCTTTGAATATTTGGTAGAATTCAGTGGTGAAGCCATCTGGTCCTGGACTTTTATTTTGTGGGAAGTTTTCGGTGGTTGTGTCAATTTCCCCACTGCTGATTGGTCTATTTAGATTCTCCCATTTTTTCATGATTTCATCTAAGAAGGTTGTGTATTTCTAGGAACATATCCATTTCTTCTGGGTTACTGAATTTTGTGGCACATAATCATTCATAGTACTTCAGTACAATCCTTTGCATATCTGTGGTGTCTGTGGCAACTTCTTTCATTGCTGATTTTGTTTATATGAGTCTTTTCTCTTATATCCTTAGTCTAGCTGGGGGGGTGCAAATTTTATAATCTTTTCAAAGAACAAGCTCTTTGTTTTCTTAATTTTCCATATAGTCTTTTTCTATATTTTATTCAATTCTGCTCTCATTTCTGTTATTTCCTTTCTTCTGCTGGCTCTAGGTTACTTTGTTAAGTTGTAATGTTAGGTTAACTTGGTGTTTCTCCTATTTCTTGAGATAGGCCTGCAATAATATAAACTTCCCTCTCCCTGATTGATGTGGCTCAGTGGGTTGAGTGCCTGCCTGCAAATCATAAGGCTGCTGCTTCGATTCCTGGTCAGGGCACATGCCTGGGTTGTGGGCCAGGTCCCTAGTTGTGGGTGTGTGAGAAGCAACCAATTGATACATCTCTTGCACAGTGATGTTTCTCTTCCGCTTTCACCCTCCCTTCCCTTCTCTCTAAAAATAAGTAAATAAAAATCTTTAAACTTTCCTCTTATTACTCCTTTTGCTGCTGTGTCATTCTGTCTCATTTTCCTTTTGCTCTGTTTGCTCCATTTGCCCACCTTTAGATGTTTCAATGGGTGGGTCTCTCAGGCATGTTTGTGTGTTGAGCAGGGAATCTTTTCTTGAAATATGGCTGTTCAGATTGTTGCAACTTCAAGGAGGGGAGTCTAAGAGGATCTCTCATGCCAGCCATTTCTCTGACCAACACCTGAAATTACACATACAAAATAATTTAGTTTTCCTTCTCTGGTACAAATTTTTAGTCTATTACCTTTCTTTTTGTGTGTGTGAAGTAAACTTATTTCCATATTGATCTAGAAGTATAGCAGAATAAAATGTAAGCAATACTTGTAGCTTATGTTGTCTAGTTGATAAGCATATGAGCTTTGTGCTTTGAAGACCAGTTAAAGATCTGTTAAAGGGTTATAAGTTATGATTCAGATTGCTATTGCGTCTCAACACATTTTGATTTTTAAAGTATAAGTTATACCTCTTCCACTGTTCTTTCACATTTTAGGCTTTTATAGCAGCCTGAAGCAAAATCAGGATTTTAAAAACTGGCTGTCATTTTATATGTAATTTTAGCATATATGTATGTGATTTGTGGCAGCACCAGAATTTTATTCCAGTTCTCTAGGCTTCTAAGTCCAGTGCTATGTTTTTGTATAGAGCTTGCAAGTTGTGACATGAAGTTTTTCAAAACTCTTTCACAGCACAGTAATCAAATGAAAGCATAAGATTATAAAGGGTAAAACTTATATAAAAGTATATATATTGTCCTGGCTGGTGTAGCTCAGTGGATTGAGCTTGGGCCTGTGAACCATACGATCGCGGTTCGATTCCCAGTCAGGGCACATGCCTGGGTTGCAGGCCAGTTCCCTGCAGGCCAGTTCCCAGCAGGGGACGCACGAAAGGCAACCATACATTGATGTTTCTCTCCCTCTCTCCTTCCCTTCCCCTCTAAAGATAAATAAATAAAATCTTAAAAAAAAAAAGTATATATACTGTATGGTCTGATTATTACTGAACCTAAGTCTTTATTTCAAGATTTTAAAGAGGCATTTGTTTTTCTTCTCAGTGACTAATATCAATACAACTCAACTTCTTTCTTCAAAAAAAATCTCAGACTCAGCCCAAGAAGTTCCCCTAGAACCATCAAATAATATTTTACTCCCAGTAAAGCCAATGATTCAATGTCAACAGGCAAAGAAAGCACCTCTGCACAACTTAACTTACGGTAAAGTGCTTTTGGTTTTGTTCCTTAGTTTGTTATTTGAATGTATTGTTAAATGTTCTAGATAATTATTTCCCCTGTGTAGGCAACAAGCTTTGACTGTGGATGAAAGATTAAATCATAAAAGCCAGAGGCACTTAGAGAAAGACTGGGCAGGAGGGTGGAGTTTCCTAACCCAATGACTTCTGTTTAATATAAACAGTTATAAATTGTCCCATTTCTCTTTCAAATTTCATGAGTTTTCTACAAATTTGGTTTAACTTTGTGTTTTTTGTAGAGCTTCCAGTTCTGAACCAAGAACATGAAAATATTTCAGCTGCACAAGTCTCAAACAGAGTGTTGACTAGATCTCAGCTGGGGAAAGCAACTCTTCTTTCAAAGGAGAATACAGTTGCAACCACCAAGTACAAAAAGAACACGATTGTTTTAGAAGGCATGGATTCTGCCTATGAAAAATCCCAAAATACTACTGTTGAGACTCTCAATACTAACGGTGTTTCTATCAAAAATGGCTGTCAATTAATGGTTTCTGATAGTAAGGTAACAACAAAAGGAACTTCACAACCAGAAATTAAGAAAGGAAATGAAAAGACAATGCCCAGGGAAAGTGCTCTTCCAGGTTCCATAAACAACACATGTGAAATTGTGCTTGCAACTCCAAGAGGCAATGTAACAATACCTCGGAGATCAAAAAGATACGCTTCAAGGCTTCCTCTTCCAAGTATATGTCCAACTATTACAGATGGAGTTAAAAGTACTAAGGTAGGAAACCCTTAAGGCAGATACATATTTGGTTTTTTTAATCCCCATTCTTCAGGAGCTTGAGTTGTTAATGCTCTCTCATTATTAACAGTACCTTCGTGGGGTTTTTTTGTTTGTTTGTTTGTTTTTTTTAACATAGAGGCATTGTGGCCTAGTATAAAGAGCAGTGGTTTGAAAGTAAGTAGACACAGGTGTTAAATCTTACCACGCTCTATTACTAGTTGTATAGCCTTCAACAATTTACTTACTCCCTTTGGAGATGAACAATAATTCTGTTTGTGTTTGTAATTATTTTACCTGCCTCCCTAGTGATGTGAGGATAACATGAATCAACGTGTCTAAGGTACTTGGAACACTACCTAGTGTTAACTTTTATTTTTGATACTATTTGACTTATTCTTTGATATATCTTAGGTAGTTCCAAAGAGGAAGTAGAAAAAAGAGATTTTGTTGCTTCTTCCCCAAGTCCTACTTATATTTTTTAAATGAACATAATTTCAGAAGGGCAGTAACTAAGAGCATTATTCCATTTTTACATCTTTTCTTAACTAAACATAAAACTACTATCGGAGAATTTATCAGTGCATGACTTGTCAGATTAGTTATTTTACGCCTTTGGGCTATATATCTCGTCAGAAATGGTCCAATGTTAAATTGTTACACAGTAGAGAAAATAATTTCTTAGCACAGGTGTTCACAGACGTATTCCTTCATAATAGGATTTTACTTGCCCTAAAGTAAGGAATTATCTGAGCTGTTCAGGTATTTGCTTTGGAATAGAATGTTGTTAAATATAGATTACTAGCAATTACATTTAAAGCTTATAGAAAATTGAATACGACTTCAACTTTGCAAAAATGTATGATGTAATTTTTCAGTGATAATAGTGATGGTGACATATATACACAGCTGACTCATTTTCTCCAAGTTATTGGGTCTTTTGTGGGACTTGATGTTTTTAATGGCTTTCTTAAGATTTTAGGTGATTTTTTTCGCCAGTAGTGAGATATTAGATATTAAGAATAGTTAAAATATAATTAGTTCTGGATTGTAGAATCAACTATAGTACTACTCCAGTTCAGTCTCCTTGCCATTCACCTTTTCTATTTATTGTTTACAAGAGTTTTTGATCATATTGCTATTTCAAATAGAATGTGATTTTCGTATAGACGTGCACTAAAGAATCATTTAGATTACTAATGAGTTTTAATGTTAATTGATTTTGCAATGCTTATGCTACAAGTAATACAGAAAATATATACTTTATTTTATGCTTGATTAGGTAGTCCAACTACAGGAATGGATGATTAAAATCATCAACAATAACAGTGCTATATGTGTAGAAGGAAAACTGATGTGAGTATATCATTTGAATATTCTTTTAATAAAATAAGATACTATATCAGAGGTTAAAGGAGAAGCATGAGAAATATTATCTTCCTATAAAATGACTGTCTAACTAGGCTGCAAACTGAAGGCAAAACGTAAAGTGACTATACATGTTGATTATAACCAGCTTTCCTGTTTTTGCCCTTCAGGTTATTTTTAAAATAATGGCAGCTCAAATATTTAGATGCAGTGCTTTATTTTTTCCCAGAGGTTTAATAAGTTGACTTGTATTCGCTGCTTAATTATATAGTTAATTAATATTTACTACATGCATTTCAGTTCAGATTCTCATATCTCAACCACATATAAATTAGTAATCAAGCCAGGGAATCAAAATTAATTAAAAACTTTGCCATACAGCTACATAATAAGTAATGATTGGCATATTCTGGTTCTCCCTAAAGTGAAAGCATCATCAGGTAAGTGGACTTTGCTTAATTCTCCTAATCTATTAGCACCACATTTTCTATTCAAAATCAATTTCTTATTAGTAAAAAAAAGAAAAGAAAAAATCATAAAAGAATCATGTAGTGAAAACAATACAGTATATCACCGTTAAAGTTCTTACGTGGAAGTTTGTAAGTTGAGTGTATGAAATCTGTCTTGCTCACTCCATTTCTGCCTGTTTGTATGCATTTCCTAAATATCCAAAATGCAGCATAGATTGTCTTGGTTGGAATCCCATTGCTTCTGCTTACTTACTGTATGACTTGTGCCAATTCTGTATTCTCCTTCATTCTCAGTTTTTTCATTTCTACAATGGCAATAATATTACTACCTTTGGGGTTATTTTGAGTTTTAAATTAGCTATATTTTTAAGACTTGCAGACAGTACTTTGAAATGCTATTTAAATGTTTGTGAAGTAAAATTAATAAAGCAAAAGAAACAGGATGAGAAGTAATATTGTATCAAGGTACGATGTATAAATTTAGTTCCATTTGACCAAATGAAAGGAGCTTAACTTTCTTACTACGCTTAGATTTAGCATGTTTATTATTATCTAGTGAACTGAAGAATGTTCAACTAATAGATCTTCATATTTCATTCTGTTTTATATTTATTCTTAGCTTCATTTACGGAAATATTAAGAGTAGATTTATGGGTAAATGACATTGCAGTTTGTTTTCCTTGGAACTTCTTATTTAGACTTTTCAAAGGGAAAGGTGAAAAAATATGGGGCTGTATAGGGAGAGTAAAAAACCCACAAGATTAACCCAGACGAAAGTGTCTCAGTAGGTTCAAAGCGAAAGGTCACCAGTTTGATTCCCAGTCGGGGCACATGCCTGGGTTGTAGGTTCAGTCCCTGGTTGGGGCATGTGCAAGAGGCAACCGGTCTGTGTTTCTTTCCTTCTCTTTGTCCCTCCCTTCCCCGCTCTCTAAAAATAAATAAATAAAATCTTTTTTAAAAACCCACAAAATTAAATGTATCCAAACTATATTGTATGAAATCTAACATAGTACAGGCCATGAGGAAAGGGACAGGGAAATCATTATTTGGAAGCTCAGCATCAGTTACGATGGAATTGCAAGCGTTGTCAGCACTGTATATTTAGGTACATTACCTGCTTCCTTGCTAATGATATATTTTATATTAGGGGTATGGTTTGGTCATGGCATAGTTTCTTGACACATACTCTGAGATCCACATAAGCCAAGCAGTTGAGTTCTGCATGCTTGGCCCTCAAATGTTTTATAATTCGATTAATAATATTGTTAATATAGCTGGAATGCAAATGTATTACTTTATATTATAAATGTATATGTTTATCTATGTACATTGTGACTGACTACTGGTAAAATAGGAAATTTTTGGCCTTAACTAAGCTATTTTTTCCTCCTAGAGACATCACTAACATATACTGGCATAGTAATGCAATCATAGAACGGATTGAACAAAACAAACTTAGGACACTATCAGGCAACATTTACATATTAAAAGGAATGATAGATCAGATTTCCATGAAAGAAGCAGGTAATGACTCATTATTAATGAATATGTTATTTTAATAAGTGAAGCAATTAACCATATTTCTAATACTAATACATTTTTTTTTACTTTCAGTTGGGTGTTTTAAAGTTGTGAATCAGCCATGATTAAAAATTAAAATGACTGATCACACTATGTACAACTATTTGACCGTTTAAATAAGTCTAGTGATTTTTTTTTTTAATTCAAGTGAAGTGTTTCTTACTTGGTAAGAATTGCTTTATGAGAATGTAGTTTAACTCCCTAGGTCTTCTTTATGAAACCTGCCCAGCACAACCCCAGTCTTGGCGTAATCAAATTTTCTGTCTGAATGGAACTGAAGAAAAACACATCTGAACAGTGTACCTTAAGTTTATAATTATGAAGAGCAAGTTGTGGTCCCTTAGTGCCACTGGTCTCCTACCACATTTCTCTAATCCATTCACTTTCCCATCCTCCTTGATGACTACTTCATATTTTTACAAGTCTCCAAAACCTCCTCCCTCCCTGTCTTGGGTTGGGAGATGGGATGGGGGGGCAGGTTATCACCTGAGCGATAGGAGCAATCAGAAGAGAACGTTTTCTCGTATCTACTGACCTGCTTGCATCTGGACCTCCTTTTATATGGATGAACGGTCCCTGTTTCTGTCTGTGTCAGCTTCTCCATTTGTGCTCTAGCTTATTGTAACTTTTCAACTCTGTAAACGTTTTAATTTTTTTAACTTTTCAACTGTTTTTGCAGTAACTTAAAACATAAACATTGTACAGCTGTACAAAGATCTTTCTTTATATCCTTATTCTATATTAATAGCTGTAAGTAATGCATTCACTGTCACATCGTGACGCTGCAATGTGAACATGTGATACAAATTTTTGACATCATGACAACTACAAAGTCACTAGGTACTACAAATTTTTCAGCTCTGTTATGATCTAATGAGAACACCTTTGTATATACAGTCCATTGTTGACTGAAACACCCTTATGCAGTGCATGACTGTATATCTAAAACCTGATCTCCCTTAAATCTGCTTAGCATACAGTCTTTCCCCTCTTTCCGTTCTTCCCGTGGCTAGACAGAATCCTCGGAGATGGCCTTAAATCCTGAATTTCTCTCATACCCACACCTCTAGTGTGTCAGTACGTCCTGTTGGCATTATCGCCATAATATATCCAGAACCTAGGCTTCTGCTGACCACCGTAGTTCATACTTCCCTGTTATTTTGTCTGAATCATTGCAGTAACCTCCTTACTGGTCTCATTGTTTCTCTACTTCCACAGACTCTTTTCAAAATAGCAGCTATTACAGTCCTGTTAATGTCAACTCCTATGGCCGCTCTGGTCATAATATTTCAATAGCTTTCCCCTCTCACCCAGAGTAAAAGACTGGGTCTGTAAAATGACTCCAAGGCCTTGTATCCTATGCTCCTCCATTGCCTCTGTTGCACATCTGAGTAGCCTTCTAGTATTAGCCTTTCTCCTCACTCCACTTTAATTAAGCTCTTTGTTCTATAAGTGGATGGGTCACACTCTTGCCTCATGGCCTTTTGTTTTATTCTCTCTGCTTCCAGTGTTTTAACCTCTTGTTGCCACGTGGGTTACTTCAAGTCTTTCTGAGCTTTACTCAGATGATGCCATTTCAGTAAGAACATCTGTGACTACCTTTTTAAAAATGCTGTTGGCGTGAATACACTGGTACCCGTATTTCCCCTTAACTGCATAATTTTTCTCCATAGCATCAATGACCATCTAACAAGATATTTTATTTATTGGTTTGTTTTTTATTTCATACTAGAAGGCAAGCTCCATGAAGGCAGGGGGTTTGGGTTGTTAATTGCTGAATCCTCAGTCAGTATCTGCAACACTGTCTGGCACATAGTAAACGTTAAGTATATATATTTTTGAATGATATAATGATTGACATCTCTTTAAATTTCTAGGTTTTTAGCTAATTTTGTTTGTTTATCATTAAATAGGATATCCAAATTATCTCATAAGGAAGTTTATGTTTGGCTTTCCAGAAAATTGGAAAGAGCACATTGATAATTTTCTAGAACAATTAAGGTAAAGTACTTTTTAATTTTTAAAAATGACAGTTTTATTGAAGCATAATTTACATTTGATAAAGGGCACCCATTTTAGGTATACAGTTTAATGAGCTTTTAAAAATGTATATACTCATATAACCAGTGTAAAGTGGTTTGAATTTCTTTTTATGGAAATACCAGTTTTGAAGCTCTCTTTCATCATAGACTCTCAAAAAGGCAGTACTACTTTTCTAGAATTTCTGTCATATGGAATAAATCTAAAAGGTAAATAAAATCTTGGACATTTCAAGGAGTTGTGCTTAATCTACCCTTTAAGAGCCAACTAGCTCTTAAACATGAGTCCGAATGAAGTTCTTGGTCTTTTTTTCTTTTGTTCATTTCCTCTGTAGTTATTGTATTGGTGCAGGAAAAGAAGAATTTGATTAATTCTTGTCCTTAAGAAACTCATAGGGATTGAACAACAATAAAGTAAGTTAAAAAAAAAAACCTCATAGGGGATAGACTGATACGAGTTTATTAATCACAATGCAATGTAATAAGTTATAACAGGTTGGCATTTTTCTGTAAAGGGCCAGATAATGTTTTTGTGGGCATGCTTCCTCTATCTCAACTACTCAACTGTTTAGAGGAAACGCAACCATAGATAGTACTTGGATGGATGGATGGATGGATGGATGGATGGATGGATGGATGGATGTGGCTGTGTTTCAGTAAACTGTATTTACTAAAAAAAGCAGCTGAGGCCCTGGCCACATAGCTCAGTTGGTTAGAGCATTTTCCCAGTATGCAGAGGTTGCAGGTTTAATACCCAGTCAAGACACATAAAAGAATCAACCAATGAATGTATAAATATGTGGATGAACAAATCAGTTTATATCTGTCTGTCTCTCTCTCTCTCTAAAAATAAGTAACAGAATAAGCAACTGATGGGATTTGTCTTGCAATTTTCTTATAGTATCAGCTTAAGTAGGAAATACAAAAGCATGGATTAGGAAGCACTCGAGGTTATATTGGAATCTTGACTTAAGATATTGTACTTGAGTTTTTGTGGGAAAGGTGGAAGCCATAAAGGCTTAAATAATGTAAAATTGAAGTAGTCTTTACTGTGGTGAGGAAAGCTTCACCTAAGGGAATTTCTTATTTCTTTTTTTTTCTTTTCTTTTTCTCTTATAGGTGTAGGGTTATAGTTAGGGTTAGTGTCAAAGGTTAGGCTAGGGTTTGGGTTGGGTTTTAAATTAGGGTCAGAGTAAAAAGTTCAGGAATAGGATTAGGGTCTTTGGTATAGGGTTTGGTTTAAAAACTAGGGATAGGATTAGTTTTAATTAAGGCTAGGTGTAGTATTTGAAAATAGTGTTAGGGTGATGGCTCAGGTTAGGGTTAGGTTTAGAATTAGAGTAAGTATATGAGTAGGGTTGGGGTAAAGGTTAGAATCAAATGTAAAATTAGGAACAATGTTAAGGTTAGAATTATGGTTAGGGTTGGTATGTTATAGTTAGGGTTAGTGTTATATTTAGGGTTGAGGTTAAGTATAGGAGAATTTCATTTATTTGTGAGAGGAGTTTTTATTTGAGACCTTTAGAGGAAAAATACTGTATGTTTTTAGGGCTTGTGAAAAGAAAAGGAGAGAGGCCACACAAAAAAAGAAAAATGGAAGATTTGTCCCTGATTTGGGAAAATCAGTGAAAAATGATGCAGAAGAAAACCGAACATATGTCCTCCAAAGAACCAGCAGAATTTATGACCTTGATTGTAAACATTTGGGTATGTTTGCTCTTTTCTTCTCCATTGGTATAATGATAAATTCTTACATAAGCCCCACATTGTTTAATTGTTTACAGTGCATATAGTATTGAGTTCACATAATGTCCTAAAGTTTTCTGCTCTCCCACTACTGGAGAAGAAACTGCAAAGCAGGTAACTCACAGTCATCATTCGGCTTGCATCATTAAATATCTTTTAACTAACCACACTACCAAGAATGCTGGTAAACATATCAGTGGAAGATAATTGTTCTTTCAGTTTCCTAAACCCAAGATATTTAGGCTGCCAGCCTACCTCACACCTATATTAAAGATGCCTATAGCGCTGGCTGGCATAGCTCAGTGGATTAAGCGCGGGCCTGCAAACCAGAGTATCGAGGTTTGATTCCCAGTCAGGGCACATGCCTGGGTTGCAGGCCAGTTCCCAGCAGGGGATGCATGAGAGGCAACCATACATTGATGTTTCTCTCCCACTCTTTCTCCTTCCCCTCTCTCGAAAAATAAATCAATAAAATATATTTTAAAAAAAGATGCCTATATATTTGTATTAAATTTCATTCCTGTTTATGGACAAAACCACTTTGCTTTTATGGAGGAAATGGCATGTGGTTTTGAATGACCATTGACCTAGCTGGCAAAACTGTTCTGTGTCATCTTTTTGCAAACATTATAATTTCCCTCACATCCCAACCCTTCCTCAGCCCCCTGTGGAAAAAAAGCATGAACATAAATTAACTTACTGCTTTTTGTAGATTATAATAGATGAGTAAAACCTACTAGCATCTATTGTATAATTTTTTACTGATTCTACTGTGACCTTGTGTGACCTTGTAATAAAGAGCTTTCCAGAACTTTAAGAGCTCAGGATTGCTTCTACCAGAAACATGATGCCATACTGCATATGTCAGTCCTCCACCGCAGCGTACCCCACTTCCCTGTGTCTATAGTGCCCCATCCCCTCTGAAACTTTGCTTATCCTTTCTGCTACAAAGGCATTAATTAAATATGCAGATGACTACCTGCTCAGAAATAGCTAAAATTTACTCTTTATTGTTGCTCCAGTTCCTTCTCATACCTGCCGCCTTTTATCAAAAGTCATCCTATGGCCTGTAAATTAGACATATTGCTTATTGTTGTTGCTAGACTCTCTTCAGTATTTTGGAGTTCTGAGGCTACAGCAACTGCTGTGTCCATTTTAGTCTTAGATTTTGACATCTCTCTACCCTATCCGTCCTTTCTCCTAGAGCAGTGTTTTTAAGGGATTTGCTAAATTGTGAATGTTACTGGTAAAGTGTTTGAGGCTATAAATGTAAAATACTAAAGTTTAGTAAACTATTTTATATGCCAACTGTGTCCATAGGAAAATCAGTCAACAAATAGTTTTAAACCACTTACATGAGCCTTGATCCATGTTAGCTGCTAGCTACTTAGAGATGAATAAGGTGAGATGCCTCCCACTTTGGGAAGCTCAAGCTGAAGTGGTTATTACTGTCTTTTGTTTAGGATATATTGTTTTTCTAGTGTGATTTGTTAGATCTTTGTTTTATAGAATTGTTAAGACATCGTATGTCCTCATGTTATATATGTTACTTTGAGTGGTGGTGGTTAGTGCTGTTACTATATTATCATCATTACACTTTTCATGAGAAAATCACTGAAATAAGACAAAACCACTTCTAGCATTAAACAACTAAAGTTATGCAAAGGCACAAACCAATGATAAGTTAAGATGATGTGACTGTGTGTATTTTAGTGATTCACCTAAAATGTGGTTTTGCATATTTAGTGCTATAATCTGTATGTCATAGCATTGCTATTATTATTCTGTTATTATACGTAACCAGAGTATATTATAAATGATCTATTAAAAGTTAAGCCTTCTTCACTATACTGTAATAGTCTCAAGAGCAGACCATCCATTATGTATCTTCAAGTATCACTTCTCAAATGCTAAAAATGTTTTCATGGTCTTATGAGTACTTATTTAATTTATCTGGAATTTCAGCTCAATAGCTGTTAAGCTTATATTGTATACTGTATAATTTTCTTTTGCTTAAAATTTTAATTAGCATAGATTTAGTTATACAAACTATTTGAAACATAAGAATTCCATACACATGAGGAAATAATCAGGAAAACAGAGTTAGTAGCTTACTGTTTAGTTGATACGGAGTTAGGATGAACAGGAATTTATTTACAGAACAGTTTAACATTTCTATTTTGCCTGTAGATGTGACAAAGGAGATCCAAAGTAGATAATAATGAATAATATAGCTGTCTATTTTTTAAGAGAATAAAAATAATTTGAACAAAACATCGCTCTATGCAGTGATTCTGTTCAAAGAAAATTGCTTTATATTATAATCAAATTCAACAAATATTTATGACATTGGATTACACAGACTTTTTATGTAATTATTTATTGAAATCTCCATCTTTATACTCATAGAACTGAAGAATAATAAGCACAGTAAGTCACCAGTAACTACAGAATTAGACGTTGGTCAGAGTTATCACCAGAATAAACCAGCACTGGTGTTCCCAGGGTACCAAATGGATAATACTGTTCAAAATGGAGAAGAATATAACTTATCTAATCAGGTAAGCTTTTGCTGTACACTGTACAGGGGTGGTGTGATACTGAAAAGGTTTGGGACCAAATCAGAAATTATGGGTTCTGTTTGTTAAGTATTATCACTTTCAATAGTTTTGACACTGTAAGTAAATGTCTTCATATTTGCTTTCCCAATGTCTCATTAGAAAAATGTAGGCAATAATAACAAAAGTTTTAGTTCTTAGAGTAAGGCTTAAGTAAAGTATATATGTATACACATATATAAGCGTTTTTCGAACAGCATTATTAAATTAATAAAGGAAATGTGTGAGAATGTTAGTACCCACATGGTGCTTCCAAAGCTTGAGCCCTGAATGCCTCCACGAAGGAAATTTGTACGTTTGATTCAGTATTGTGAAAATGCTTGAGGTCATGTTTATAGGCAGTACCTGTTATACTAAAAAGTTACCTTTTGATTTTGAAGGAGACTGGAAAAAAAGAATGTAAAAAGTTGTCTTCTAATTGTGAACGAAGAACAAAGGAAAAGATAATTAAGAGTCAGAAGCAAGGTAATATATCTTTATTGGTTTTGTAATAAATAGAAAGCTATTTGAAATTTTTTAATATAACAAAAGTAATCTCATAAATTTCCAAATCTAAAATGGTAGACCAACTATTTTAATGCCCTTTCAGTGGTTAATAATGTTTCATGCTGTTTTTTTTTCCCACAGAAGAAAGATGTACATGGAAATAGCTCATTACATTAAATATTAGATTTAATTATAGGTTTGGCTTCTTTGATTTGGGTATCTTTAAATAATTTTGTATAAAACACAATATATATATTATTTTAAATATGTGTCTAATATATTTAAAGACTGAATCCTTTTATGAAATGGGAAATAAACCAGAAGTTAGTTTAATTCATGTTGAGTTAAATCTGTCAGCTTAATAGCATTTTTTCTGTTTTATAATGAAAATGTTTTCATCAAAATTAGAAAGTTTGGTCAAAATTAGAAAGTTAGATTCAAATGAAATTGAGCATTTGAATAATATTTTTGTGGATAATTAGTAGAAAACACTCTGTGCATAATGTGAAGATAATATGATTCCATTAAGAAGTCCTTAGAAACTTTCTTGATTTTGATTAGTACCAGCCACTTCATGAATTATCATTTAGAAGGTTCTTTTCTTCTTGTCATTCATCTTTAACATGACACATAATATGTGTCAGTTGTTGACAGTATGTCACTATGATGATTGGTGTGATCATTTATAACATCTATTTTATAATTACAGTCAGATCATTTAAAGTCAGAAATTAAATAGTTTGGCTTCTGGTTTCTTAAGTTTTAGATTTGAGAGTTTCTCTCATTTTAATATGCTTTAACCAGTGACATGGTATAATAAAGACTTGCAGGTTCAATTTTGGTTGTTATGCCACGATAATTCATAAAGGTTTTAGGGATTCAGCAAAAGAGTGTCTTTTATGTTTACCATCAGGGATGAGAACGAGGCCATGCAGAGAGAGTCCATGTTCTCCTCATTCCCTCCTTAATTAATACAGCTTCTATTTCATATATTACACACCCAATAAGGTTTTAGCAACCCTATTGGCTTTCTTTGTCTTTTAAATACTTTAGCTCCAAAGAGTTGATATAACAAATATTTATTTAGCATCTACTGTATATGTGAAAAGACTCTGAACTAGCTCCAGCTAAAAAAAATCCAAAAATGAAGACAAAGTATATTAAGTATTTTTTAAATATTTTATTTATTTTTAGAGAGAGGGGAGGGGAGGTAGAAAGAGAGGGAGAGAAACATTATTGTGGTTGCCTCTCACACCCCCCCCCTACTGGGCACCTGGCCCACAACCCAGGCATGTGCCCTGACTGGGAATCGAATCGTGACCCTTTAGTTCACCGGCTGACACTCAATCCACTGAGCCACACCACCAAGGCTAGCTAAGTTTTTTTTTGTTTGTTTGTTTGTTTGTTTGTTTGTTTTTTCAGTCCAGTTGAAAGATAAGTGTAATTATATACAGGGCACATTGTCAGACATGGCCTTATTTAGAAGTATTCTGGAAATTTGAGGGAACCTTCCTTCAGAGGTAATCAGGACAATTTGTGGTTAGAGAATAAAATTGAAACACGTAGTGATTTGTTTTGAAAATATGAAGGAAACTTTCCAAGTATAGTGAAGGTTGAGAATTTTTAAAAAATTGACAAACAGTGTCTATGCACAGAATATTGTTCAGATGTGAGTACAGTAAAAGATTAAAACTACATTGAAGGGCAGGTGGAGGAGTTCATATGAACACTAACCAGATTGTGGGAAGTAATGGACAAGATGGTAGTAAAAAATAGTATGTTTACAATCGAAGGGGCAGTGATCTAAACAGATTCATGCTTCAGGAAGATTAATATGACAGTAGTGTGGACAGTGGGGTTTATGGGAAAAAACAGTATGTTTTATTTGTGAAAATAGTTTTTCTGTATTTTGTAGCTAATTTGAGATTTTAATCTTTGGTTTTGTCTTATGAAATTAAAGAGCAAACCGAAGGATCAAATGTACCCATTGATATTATCACCTCAAGAGAGTCACCTTTCTCAGATAAAGAGAGAAAATATATGACTGCTAACGGGAAGAAAGCTTATGTTGTCGTAACACCTCTGAGATCTAAAAATGTGATAGAGCAAAAATGCATGAAGTATAATGTGTCCCCTGCTACCATTAAAGCAGTAACAGATTTTATTGTGCCAAAGCTTCAAAGAGAAAGTGAATCAGACTTAAATGAAACTACACGTCCTATCAGTAAGCCCAGAAAGACTTCCAAAAAAGCATTTGAGTGTGGTGCTGGTCATGAAAGTGGAAACAATGAAGATAGCATTGAACAAGATATACTCACAGTCAACCAGAAAGTAATACCTAGTTCTAACAAGAAAGAAATGGTCACTTTTGACTTTAAGAAAAATACAACATTGTTACAAAAATCGAAGAAGAATGAAAAGCAAGTAACTATGTCATTCAACAAGCATCAGTCCCCAGATTTGTCTGCTTTTGAGAGTGAAACAGAAAAGAAAATTAGAACAAAAGCTGGAGCTGTTAAGGAAGTCAAAGCAAGAAACACCAAAGAAACAGTATTTCATCAGAAAAAAAGCAGAAGGAACACCACAGGAAAAATTCCAGTGATTTCTGAAACTGAAGGAAGTGAAAATGAATTTCCTATCAAAAAAAAGGAAACTAGATGTTCTACTAAAAAAAATCATCAGAAATCTGGTATTAGGAGTGAGTTGCCAATTATTGACACAATGAGCTCTGAGATAAAGAGTTGTTCCTCAGAATGCTTACCTGGTTTAGTTCGGAATGAGGAATGGAATGAACAGGAAATACAGAAGCTTCATTGGTAAGTAGTTAGATTTGATTCTACAATATCTAGAGTGACCACAAAATAGTTGAAGACAAAAAGAGCTCCAATGAGGTGCTGATTTAATGATTCGAAATCATTAAATGGAGTATGTAATCCAAAACACATGGAGAGAAATTTCAATTTATACAGAGGGTGGAGGAAAAATATAGATAACTGCCAACTAGATGATACTTTGTGGCCATCTGCATAGCCTACATATGAGGAAACTTCCTCACATGTAAGTGAACTTCTTTTCTTTTTGTTCCCATTTAATATTTCAAATACACCCCTCCCCCCACCCCACCTATGCACCAAAAAAGGAAACTATATCAGGGGATGGGTGTGTTAATTAACTTGATTGTGGTGATTTCACAATGTGTGTGTGTATCTCAAATGATCATGTGTAGACTTTTGTATATAATTTCACTTGTTGATTATACCTCAGTAAAGCTAGGGAAAATATTTCAACACAGCTGTACATTTTAAATATTTTATAATTAAATTCACCATTATATAACCTTCAAACTTAGAGAGTTTTTAGTAGTTCTCTGTTCTGCCCACCCCACCCCGTTTATAGAGAAGAAAATAGTCTCAGAGGTTTCCAAAGTTTCATAGTTAGTGCTGCTGATAACTGGATTTGTCTACATAGACCTGACAACCAATATCAGCAGTATAGTAGTATTAGAAGCCAGGTCACAGTTGAGCAGTGAAGAGTGAATAGAAGAATAAAGACAACTTAGGTGAACAACACAAGAAATTTGGCAGTGAAAGGGAACAGAAAAATACATAGGTAATAGAGGACAGTGTGAAGATAAGGGAAGACATATGTTTGATTGCTTGCTTAATTTGTAAGATGGCTCATGCAATAGTGTGATGGTTTACTGATGGAAATGATCTAGTAGAAAGAAAGGAAGATATGACTGATAAAAGAGATAAGGATAGCCCTGACCGGTATGGCTCAATTGGTCATCCCACAAAGCAAAAGGTCACCAGTTCTATTTCCAGTCTGGGCATATGCCTGGATTGTGGGTTTGGTCCACAGTGAGTCAGAGTGTGTGCGAGAAGCAGCTAATCAATGTTTCTCTCACATTGATATTTCTCTCCTTATTTCTCCCTCCCTGTCCCTCTCTCTAAAAATGAATAAATAAAATCTTTTAAAAAGAGACGGTAACATAGAAACATGCCACATTTTGTTCCACTCCCTTGTGTACCCCCAAACCTTGTAACATTTGGAATTCATTTTTAAATCTGCTTTCCTGAAATTCTCTCCATGAATCCCTGTGCCACGACACACACTCTTACTTTTTCAGTTGCCTGAATGTTCCTTCTCTTTCTTCAGACAGAGAAGGTAATCTTCATTCTTATTTTTAAAGTATATTTTATTGATTATGCTATTACAGTTTTCCCAGATTTTTTTCTGGGGAAAAAATCCCCTTTTATCCCCCCTCCGCTCTGCAACCCCTAACCTCTCTAGTATTCCCTCCACCCCCTTACTTCATGTCCATGGGTCATACATATAAGTTCTTTGGCTTCTCTGTTCCTATTCTTAACCTCCCCTTGTCTGTTTTCTACCTACCATTTATGCTAATTATTCTTTGTACTTTTCTCCCCCATTCCCCCACCCCCCCCACTAAAAACCCTCCATATGATCTCCATTTCTCTAATTCTGCTTCTCCTTTAGTTGTTTGCTTAGTTTTTGTTTTTTAGGTTCAGTTGTTGATAGTTATGAGTTTGTTGTCATTTTACTGTTTTTATTTTTTATCTTTTTTTTCTTAGATAAGTCGCTTTAACATTTCATATAATAAGGGCTTGGTGATGATGAACTCCTTGAACTTGACCTTACAATCTGAGAAGCGCTTTATCTGCCCTTCCATTCTAAATGGAAGCTTTGCTGGACAGAGCAATCTTGGATGTAGGTCCTTGCTTTTCATGACTTGGAATACTTCTTTCCAGCCCCTTCTTGCCTATAAGGTCTCTTTTGAGAAATCAGCCGACAGTCTGATGGAAACTTCTTTGTATGTAACTGCCTCCTTTTCTCTTGCTGCTTCTAGGATTTTCTCCTTTGTTTTAATCTTGGCTAATGTAATTATGATGTGTCTTGGTGTGTTCCTTCTCGGGTCCAACTTGTTTGGGACTCTCTGGGCTTCCTGGACTTCCTGGAAGTCTATTTCCTTTGCCAGATTGGGGAAGTTCTCCTTCATGAAGTTTTCAAATAAGTTTTAAATTTCTTTGATACAGATGTTGGAATGTTTAAACTTGTCCGAGGTTCCTAAGCCTCTTTTTCTTTCTTTTTTTTTTTTTTGAATTCTTGTTTCTTCATTCTGTTCTAGTTGAATATTTATTTCTTCCTTTTGCTCCAAACCATTGATTTGAGTCCCAGTTTTCTTCCCATCACTGTTGGTTCTCTGTACATTTTCCTTTACTTCACTTTTCATAGACTTCACTTTTTCCTCTTTTTGCAACTATATTTAACCATTTCTGTGAGTATCCTGATTACCAGTGTTTTGAACTCTGCATCTGATAAGTTGGCTATCTCTTCATCGCTTAGATGTATTTTTTTCTGGAGCTTTGATCTGTTCTTTCATTTGGACCATATTTTTTTTGTCTCAGCGTACCTGTTATGTTGTAAAAGGTGGAGCCTTACAACGCCAGCGTAGAACAACCCACATTTACTGTGTTGTGGCTATATGTGGTCTGGGGGGTGGTCAGAGAGAGAAAAATGCCACTTGCTTGGATCTCAGCCGGCTTTCAGTGACTTCCCCTGGTACCCACAAGCAAATTGGGCCCTTCTGGTGCTGATTCCCAGGTGGGTGGGTTTGTATACATTCTAGGACCCCGTGGTCTCTTCCAAAGAACTCTCCTGTGAGCTGGGAGTTTCTCCTGCAGCCTCAACCCCCACAGGTTTTTACAGTTAGAGGTTTGGGGATTTTCTTTTCCTGCACTAGAACCCAGGGTTGTACAGTCTGTCTTGCTCCACAGTTGTTCCTTGCAGTTTATCCACACACAAATGTGGGACTGCCAGCCTCTGCCTCGCCCACCTAGTTTTCCAGCTGCCACCATGCCACACGTCCTTTCTGCCCCAGCTGCCTGGACCGATCCATTCTGCACTGTGTCCCTCCTACCAGTCTGAATAGATGTGGTTTCTTTAGTTCCACAATTTACAGACTTCCATTCATCTTGATTTCTGATGTTCCTGAGTGGTGTTTTTTTATATTTTAGTTGTAATTTTGATGTAATTGTGTGGATAGGCAGGCCATGTCTGCCAGTGCTGCTCTCTGGACCAGAAGTCCACCATGGCACATTTCTTACTCCTCATTCAGTGATACCACATCAATAGCTTGAAATCAGCCACCTTACTGGTGTCTACAATATGGAAATTTTCAAACACTGAAGAGAAGGACTTTTTAGACCCAGAGAGCTGTTTGTTAAAAATTTATCAGCATAACACTATAAATTAATTGGTGAGTTGAACAGATCTTTACAGGCTCAACTGTCAGACTAATCACAATAAATGTATAAAATCACACAATGTATAAAATATGTTTCGGGGGAGTGGTGGTATAGTACAATAATATGTGTATCAAATTCTAAATAGTCATTTACAAATGAATTTCAGAATGTAAATCATTTGTTTAAATGAAGAAATACTTGATATTGACTTACGTTTCTCCTTTTGCAATTTTCATTTCCCTCGAGTATTATGTCTATAATACTCTGTTCTGTAAAATATAATACTATAATGAAAGCAAGTATAATACTTTTCATTGAGTTTATAACCTGGAATATATATAATCTAACTGCTCATCTTCCGGTACATTTTAGCACCAGTAATATTTGAGCAATAATGTAGAAAACTTAGTCATTCATGCTAAAGCACCCCAAAAGATCAAATCATTGATTAGTTGGACTTAGGAAAAAATGTCTTAAGGTTAGGGGTGAACCCTGGCTGGTGTAGCTCAGTGGATTGAGCATGGGTCTGTGAAGCAAAGGGTCGCTGGTTTGATTCCCAGTCAGGGCACAGGCCTGGGTTGCAGGCCATGTCCCTAGTAGGGGATACATGAGAGGCAACCACACAATGATGATTCTCCCCCACTCTTTCTCCTTCCCTTCCCCTCTCTCTAAAAATAAATAAATAAAATATTTTTAAAAAAAGACTGGGGGTGATTTTTCAGGTTAGAATGCAACAAATTAGAATGCATCTACTAGATATGTTAAATTACATCTTCATATTTTAAGCACTAGTATAAGTTACTGAATAAGGGAGTAGTACCTTCTTTCCAAATAGTTGCCTATAGAATGATTTTGGTAAGATTCCTTTAATTCAGTAAATCTCATTGATTTAGTGGTATACATTTATTTATTTGAATTTCTTATTATTTAACTGGTTTTGGTCTTCCATAGTGCTTATGCATCTATTCCTAAGCAGAAACCTGGATTCTGGTCAGATGTAGCTATGGCTGTAGGTTCTTGGTCTGCTGAAGAATGCCAGAGGAAATACCTGGAAGATTCCCAAGGAAATGGATCTCAGACACGAGTGACTAAGAAAAAGCCAGTTAATCCCCAAAGCAAAAAATATGGTAATTTTTATAGTAAATAATTTTTCCTAATTGTATCAATTTCTAATCACTCACTAGATGTGTTTTATATTTACCCATGTGTCTTGTTATAGATTTTTTTTTTTACAGTTTTAAAGCTAGAAAGAACTCCAAAGGTCAGTTGTTTACTTTTGAAATCTTATCTAGTTAATTCCATCAATTAGCTTCAGCAACCTTGTGCTTTGAGTTCTAGGAAATATGCAGTTGGATCCAGAGATTATAGTATCTGAGTTACTGTTATCAGGGTCTAATTTAGTGGTGCTTGGGTAGGGTTCCCTAGTAATTCATAAGAAAACTGAGAATAAACTTAGTTTTAATGGGAGGAGTACACACTTCTAACCAAGGTTTATGCTAGAGAAGTCCTATACTAAGCTTTAGGGAGTATTCCGTATTCCTGTCCTAATTCAATGAGGTTTCTATTTTAGCAAAATCAGTAAAGTAGTCATCAGTAAGAGGAGTGTGGGAGGTAACCTTTCTCATGAGATAAAGACCTTTTCAACTGTACCCGTTTAATCTTACATGTATTGTCTTCATGGGTATTTACAGGCCAGTCATTACACCAAGCCCATAGTAGAACGGATCATTTGGTATATAGGATACTTATAAATGTTAATAAGAGGGGATGAGTTTACTTAATCTGAACACACAATTTAGATTTTACCAAGTTGGTTAACTTTAAAACAGTTACTCTAAATGACCAAATTCTTACCAAAATGTTTTGCTGACTCTTTAAGGTAAGAGAAAGAGAGGTGATATGGATCAGGAGCAAACTGTGAAGATAACAGCCAAAGTGGGAACTCTTAAAAGGAAGCAGCAGATGAGGGATTTTCTGGAACAGTTGCCAAAAGATGACCATGATGATTTTTTCAGTACAACACCTTTGAAGAATCAAAGAGTACTGGTAAGAATTTTGAATGCAGAAATCATTGTTTTCTTTATATTGACTCATATCTTTTATTATTATACATGGTTAGTAGGCATCCCTGACATTTAGGTCAAGGATTCATAAGTCTCCACAGACATGACTAAGTGTAGTACAGGAAGCAGTCTGCCAGTACATGCCATTCTCATCAGTGTCCAGAGTCCACGCTTCAGTGGGGTTCACAGATAATGTTTATAGAATCAAATAGAAAACCCAGAAATAGGCCAAACGTATATATTTAAAATTCAAATGCAATGAGGTAAAATTCTTGAAGAAAAAGGTGACAAGAAAAGATGGTACCTATTGTATAGTATATTCAGGGAAAGGATTAAGTAATAGCACAAGTTGACCAATTTGAATGTCTAAAACAATTTTTGTAGTATGAAAAACCATATAACTAAAAACTTCATGATTAGGATAAAATATTTGCAAAAAATAAAGCTAATAGTATTTGTAGTATGAGGAACTCATTCAGATGTTACTGGCATATAAAAAAAAATGTCAAGATCACAGAAAAAGGAAAAAGAGAGAGAGATCTTCACAGGCTAATGAATTTGTAATTTCACCCTTGCTTGTAATGTAAACCATTTTTGGCTCCATAATAGTAAAATCTATGTAAACCAGAAAAAGTCTGAACAAACTGGCTCCATAATAGTAAGATCTATGTAAACCAGAAAAAGTCTGAACAAACTGGTCATTCTACTTGTGATCAAAAGAAAACAAAGTAAATTATATGTAAGTATACCTTCTAAATTACAGAACCATTTTTAAAAAGTAAGTTAAAATATCCACTAACAAAAAACTATGGAGATGTTGATACAGTCATATGTCAGTGGATGCAGAGTTGAAGCATACCATTTGAGAGCATTATGGCAATGTATGACAACCATAAACATTTATTCTACTATGGGAATTTATGGTAAGAAATTGAAAAGAAGACAAAAATCTTCAGATACTCGCTGAATGTGCATATATGCACTAAGCATGTTCTTCATAAACATGGTGAAATACAGTACAAATATTAAGGGCAGATTTGAGACTGTTTCTTGAATTTAAATACAAATGTCAAGAATATTAAAGTCAAAGTAATGTAAAGATAAGATGGATCTAGACAGCTGGACTGTTAAGTATAAACACTGAAAGCATTTTTTAGTGAGCTAGACTTAGGGGTACTTGTTTCATTTACCCCCTTTTAAAATATTGTTAAATATTAAATTTTAAAAGGCTACACACAATGCTTCAATAATTTAATAACATTATCTGGGGCCCCCTTAGCCTACCTAGGTATTTTAAGGCATTTTAAGGGAGCCATTGAGACTCTTACTATGTTCTCTGCACAACAACCTTTGGGAGTTCTACGCCGTTATATTAGTCCACCAGGATTTCAGGTTCTGTATATGTTTTGGACTAAATGCAATAGTCTCAACATTTTAAAAGCGAAGGTAATAAATAAAGAAAGCAGTAATTAGTTCATTTTCTCTGGCATACTTAAGTCTACTTTCTCTAAGGTTTGAATATAAAGATAAGTGAAATATTAATTAAGGATTTAATTATTTATTGTACATTTATACACACAAAAGTTTAATGCTGCTTGAGTTCATATTAAGTACCAAGCATAATATAGTAAATACAGTTTAGTTTTGTATGGTCTACACAGTAGGTCAGCAAACTATGGCCCATGGGCCAAATTCAGCATACCACCTTTTTTTTTTTTAAGCAAAATTTTGTTGGAACACAGATGAGCCCAGTGTTTACGTGCTGGCTGTGGCTGCTTTCAAACTACAACAGCAGAGTTGCATTGTTGGGACAGTGTGGTTGAGCCAGAGTACGGACCACAAAACCAAAATATTGATGCTTACTATCTGAATCTTCAAATCAGAAAACATTTGCTGATTCCTGATCTACAGGCTTTTAGAAACAGATGTTACTGTGTATATCTTTACACAACAGAAGCTAAGTTTTTTTAGAGGACAAGCCTACTAATTTTTTGAGAGAATTTTAAAATTTTATTCTATTTTATTTTTTAATTATCTTTTATTGATTATGCTATTACAGTTGTCCCAATTTTTTTCCCTTGGCCCCCATCCACCCAGCACCCCCTCCTCCCACAAGCAATCCCCCCACCACTGTTCATGTCCATGGCTCATGCGTGTGAGTTCTTTGGCTGCTTCATTTCCCATACTGTACTTTACATTCCCATTGCTGTTCTGTAACTAATTTTTACTTCCTAATCCCCTCACCTCTTCACCCATTGCCCTACGTGCCCTTCCCATCTGGCAACCATCAGAAAGCTCTTCATATCCAGTATCCTGTCTCTTCTTGTTTTATGGGAACTCCCCTGTAAGTACCCAACTGCTTTTCTGTTGCATTTCTCTTAAAATGCATTTAAGATTCTCTACCTTTCACCTTTGGCATTTTAATTATCATACATCTTAGAGTGGGCCTCTTTGCGTTCATCTTGTTTGGAACTCTCTGTGCTTCCTGGACTTGCATGTCTATTTCCTTCAACAAATTAGAGAAATTTTCTTTCATTATTTTTAAATATATTTCCAATTTCTTGTTACCTCTATTCTCCTTGTAGCATCCTATGATTCGAATGTTGGAATGGTTGGATTTTCCCGGAGGCTGCTTATACTATCCTCGTTGTTTTATATTCTTTTTTTCTTCTTGTTGTTCTGATTGGTTTTGATTTTGTTCCAAATCACTGATTTGATTTTTGACTTCACTCACTCTACTGTTGTTCCCTATAAATTCTTCATTTCAATTAGTGTATCCTTCATTTCTGATTGGATTTTTTTTTATGCTACTGAGGTCCTCACTAAGTTCCTTGAAAATCCTTATAACCAGTGTTGTAAACTCTGCATCTGATAGGTTGCTCATCTCCATTTCATTTAGCTATTTTTCTGGAGTTTTGATCTGTTCTCTCATTTGGGACACATTTCTTTGTCTCCTAGGTTTGGCAGCCTCCCTGTTTGTTTCCATGTATTAGGTAGAGCTGCTGTGACTCCATGTCTTGGTAGTGTGGCCTAATATAGTAGGTGTTATGTAGAGGCCAGTGGCACAGCTTCCCTTATTACCCAAGCTGGTTACTCAAGGTATGTCCTTCCTGTGGGCTGAGTACACCCTCCTCTTATAGTTGAGACTTGATTGTTGTTGGCCAGTAGGAGGGATTTACCCAAGTCAGTCACCTGCAAGGACTAGCTGTGACCACTGAATACTAACCTCCTTCTGTGGAGGATCAACTGTGCAGGGGCAGGGTGGTAGTGCTCTGGTGTGGTTTTCAGCTGACCACTGAGTGTGCAGGCCAACAAGGTCAGCACCATTTTTATTTTCCCCAGGGACACTCTGCCTGAGCTATAAAGCAATCTGAGATGGCTGATACTCAGGACTTGGAGATTCCCAGGGGAAACCAAGCTGTGAATGAATCTAGGCTCACTGTTGCTAGTCCTAGGTCTGGGGCCACAACAAGAGATAGGGGGACTGACAGCTTACTGAGGATGGGCTTACTGAGGCCTGCTGTTCCTTGTTTGATAGGATTTAGGCAGTTGTGAAGTATGAGCCAAAACCAGTTATTCATATGTTAAAGTCTCTGGTAACAACTTGGTGTCCCTGTAAGCTGGGTAGGACAGAGTCTGAGGATCTCCAGAGCAGAGCAGACAGTGTTAGGTTGATGGAGTCTGAGATATGGCACCTGCCTGTCAGCTCTGTAGCTCTGTGAGTTCAGGTTCAGAAAGGAACAGTGACCTCTGCCTGATTTTCTGCCTGGGAGAAAGCTGTCCCCTAGTTCCTGCCTGAAGCCAGACACTTCACTTCCCTCCTGTATGCCACTGGTGCCTTCAAGTTGCTACCCTGGTGCTGAAGCTAAGAGGGAGTGAGTCTGAGTAAGTCTGTGCTTGGGTTCCTTAAGAGGAACTGCTTGGGACTCCTGAAGTTTCTTCCACCAACTCAGTCCCTGCAACCAGAAGTCATGGAGACTTATCTTCCTAGCACTAGAACATGTGGCTTGAGGGGCTGGTGTGGGGCTCGAACTCTTTACTCCTGAGTTATCCCTCCTGAATTTTTATCTACTGCTCATGGAGGTGGGACCAGCCTATTCCATTGTCTGCACCCCTTCTATCAGTCTGGATGGATATGGTTTCTTTAATTCTGTAGTTGTCAGACTTCCATTAAACTCAATTTCTAATGTTCTGATGATGGCTGTTGTATAATTTAGTTGTAATTTTGATGTGGTTGTGTGAGGAGGTGAGTCATGTTTATCTATGCCACCATCTTGACCGGAAGTCCCTCAATGGTATATCTCTGCCTACTAATATTTTTTTATTATCTCTGAAAATTATAAGACACAAAAAATTTATCAGCCCACCAAAAACATTTTGTGACAATGAGCAATTTTATTTTTAGGGCTTCTTGCTAATGATGAATATTTGCTTTCTAGTTGCCAGATTTCCAGTACAGTCAAGAAGAAGAGGATATTCTGCCAAATATGGACAGAAATCCAACAACTCCATCATCGGTTATCTTTCCATTGGCAAAAACTCCTCAGTGTCAGCATGTCAGTCCTGGAATGCTAGCTCCTATAAATAGGTAAATATTTATGCATATACTATAATTCTCTGCATCAGCATTTATCATTTTATGAGTTGAAGAGAATAGATGTCAGTAATGAGAAAAGTGATCATTAGTTTAAAAAAATTAAGAATAGTTCCTAGAAGTCAAGGATAGGCAATTTCAGCAAGCAGAGGTGTTAATCAATAAAGTTGGGACCCACTTTATCAGGATAAATTCCAAACGAATCAAAGTTTTATATGTAAAAAATTAAACTGTAAAATATACCTAAAGTAACCTTGGAGAATTATTTTATAATCTAGATTAGTGAAGGTCATTATAAGTAACAAAAAGAATGCAGTCATCTATATTTAAAAAATCTCATTTGGTACTAAGCAACTATAAATAATCAAAAGAAAAAAATAACAATGGTTGGAGAGGCTATAGAGGAAAAGGAACCTTCATACACTGTTAGTGTGAAAAAATATTAGTACAACTATTATAGAAAACAATATAGAAGTTCCTCAGAAAAATTCAGAATCAAGTTATCACTTGACCCAGCAATCCTCTTTTTGGGGTATCTACCCCCCAAATTTGAAAATATTTATTCATAAGCAAATAGGTGCCTACATATTTACTGCAGGATTATTCATGGTAGCCAGAACATGGAAACAACCCAAGTGTCCTTTGGTAGGTGATTGAACAAAGATGAGGTGCACACATACAATAGAATACTTCTCAGCCACAAGAGAAGATGAAATACTGCCATTTGCAACAACATGCATGGATGAGTATCATGCTCAACAAAATATGTCAAATAGAAAAGCACAAGAATCATGACTTCACGTATATGCGGGATATAAAACAAACCAACGAATGAATGAAAAACAACTCAGACATGGAACAGTTGGTGGTTGTCGTATGATAATGGGAGGACACTAAACTTTGGGTGATGAACACACAATGCAATATACAGATGATGTCTTAAAATGTACACTTGAAACCTACTGGTATAGAATCTTATTAATCAGTATTATCCCAATAAAAGACAAATGACAATTTGAGGAAAGACTTACCGAATTCATCACATGAATAAAGCTCTTTCCCTGATATAGCACTCCTACAAATTAGGAAAGCCATTCGCATGAATTGGCAGCAAGAAGGTAAATCAGTTCAGTTTCTAAAGGCAGCAATTTGTCAATATATATCACAATTATAAGTGTACATGCTCTTTGACCTAGCAGTCCTACTTTTAAAATTGTGAATGTTCAACTGATTCCTTGTAGTATTGTTTATAATGGCAGAATACTGAAAACAAATATCTATTGAAGAGACTCATCAAATAACTTCTGGTATATTACATAGCTATAGAAACTAATAAAGTTTTTTATGTACTATTATAAAATGTCCACAGTGTAGTAAGTGGAAAAAGTTATATACATTGAATTAATTTTTTGCCATTTATGTATATAATGGTAATATATGCAAGTGTGTATATATGTTATGTATAATATATCATGTATTATAGTATATGTACATAATTGCTTTATTTAATTAAAGACCTCTGAAAAGATACATGAGAAATTGAAAACACTGTTGATCCCTACGAGAGGAACTAAGATATCTTGGGAGACTGAATTTTGAGCTATGAGAATATAGGAACTATTTGAAATGTAAATAAAATCAAGAAAAATAGGCCAACAGTAAAATGTCACAGAGAGAGAGAGTAATAAGGAGGCCTAAAAATAGGATATTCCATCTTGCATTTAAGCAGGACAGTGCTCACCTAGTAAGAATAATTTCCATGGGTGCGAGAGGCAGAAGCCAGGTGATAATGACTCAAAAAGCAGTATTCAATATTCTCATGAATCCTGATAGAATTTCAATTTGCATTTATTTGGCAAAAAACACTTTTCCCTAGCAATTCACAAATTAATTTTTGTTAATTTTTTAATTTAATTAGTTCTCAAATGATAGGTTTGGGCAAGTATGTATATACATTTGTAAGAGCAAAGATATTCATCATAAAGCTTAACACTGAAAATTTGGAATTGATCCAAATGTCCAGTAACAAGAAAAGTTAAGAAACTAGGATTTGGGGCCTTCTGCACTCCCTCTCCACTTTCCCTGAGCACCACTCTGGGCTTCAGGCTCCAGCTAAGCCAGCGCCTCTGCATCTCCTTTCGGCCACCATCATGAGTATCTACCGCACCTCATCAGTCATGATGACACATCCTCCAATATCTATAAGATCCAGGAGAGGCAGATGAGCTGTGCCTAGAGGTGGAGGGTAAGGTGGCCAGTAGGACAGCAGGTAACAGGGATGGTTTGCTCGTTGATGGAAATGCCTCTCCTGAATGCTCCGAGGGCAAAGCAGAGTCATCACTGGAGGTGGTATTGTCCTAAGCCATCACTTACAGGAAATCAGCTTCACAAAAGAAGCCCACAGAAAGTACATCAAAGATGACATGAAACCGGTCAAAGGGAAACTTTTGAGGAGTAGAGACCTGAAAGAGTGAGCTTTTTATGACAGGGGTTACAGAACAATCAAGCACATCTTTGCTAATATGAAAAACTACCAGTTCTTGATTGGTGAACACAATGAATCTAGACATATGATTGCTCTGCTGGACTACAGAGAAGGGTGCAATGCACATAGGATTCTCTTTAAGGATGGTTTAGAAATGGAAGAACGTTAACAAATTTGGCAGTTTGGATCTATCATTTATCATCATAACTGGCTGCTGCTTTTCATCTACATACCAGGACTAGAACAAATGGCACTTAACATTCTCTTGAGCTCTCCATTTATTTGACCTTGATTTGGAGTGGAAGCATTGTTTTGTGTTTTTTTTAACTTGTGTAATTTTCTATTTATTTTTAGATCTAGAAATTCAGGTTTAAGGACAAGGAATGTATTATAGAACTATGAATTCATCATAGAATTAAGACTTTTTACACCTGAAACTATGATATTGCATGTCAGCTATAATTTTTTTTTAAAGTTAAAAATGTTACAGTTTAACTTCATGTCTAGGAGTTTATCTTTAAAACAAGAAATTTATCCTTACATAGCAATTCAGTTTTGGGGACTAAGAATTTATCTGTAGAACTAAGAATGTATCTTTAGTACTAGACATTCATCTTTAGATCTAAGAATTCATTCTTTGGCACTATAAATGTATCTATAGAACTAGGAATTTATCTTTAGAACTCATAATTTGTACACCTGAAACAAATAAAATACTGTATGTCCACTATAATTGACAAATAAAAATTACAGTAGAAACAAAAATAAAGTCATGTAATTTCTTAAGAATTAAATGCATTTAAACTCAGAAAAGAATTAGGATTTGTCTATAGAATATGTAAGAATAAAAATCATGCCTTCAAGAATTTTTAATGACAGAATAATGTTCAGTGGAATTTTAAAGCTAAGAAATAAAACCATGTACAGTATGATCCCAATTTACATAAAACATATTCATAAGAAAAAGGGCCCTGGCTGGCATAGCTCAGTGGATTGAGCGCAGGCCTGTGAACCACACGATCGCAGTTTGATTCCCAGTCAGGGCACATGCCTGGGTTGCAGGCCACTTCCCGGCAGGGGACTCACAAGAGGCAACCACACATTGATATTTCTCTCCTTCTCTCCTTCCCTTCCTCTCTAAAGATAAATAAATACAATCTTAAAAAAGAGAGAGAGAGAGAGATAAAGGAAGTTTCTTGATCAAGAACATTACCAGCTATTTACCTCTAAGTTCTAGAATTACACTGACCTGGCTTGGGGGGGGCTGTATTATTTCACAGTTAAGGAAGTAAGACTTTCTAAAAGATCATATGATGGACTTATATAATGAATATATTTTCTAAAACTTTTATTTAAAAAAAATAAGTTTCCTAGGCCTCCTTCACTGTCTCTTCACTCACACCAGCTCTGGTTGATTTCCTTTTTATAACAGTTTTAAATAATAAAACAGTTTCTGTCATTTCAGAAGTGATCTCTTTATACCTGACAACAGACTCTTAATTAAATTTATCATGGTGACATTGGTTAATAAGATTATATAGGTTTCAAGGGTACATTTCCATGATACATGATCTGTACATTGTACTGTCAGATCATCTTCTGTCACCGTCTTTTTGGCTCCCTTTTTACAACCACTCTTCATCCCCCTTCCCTCTGGTAACCACCATATTGTTGTCTGTGTCTGAGTTTGCTTTATATTCCACATATAAGTAAAATAGCTTAGCTCTTTCTGACTTTGCTTAGCATAGTATTCTCAAGGTCCATCCATGTTGTTGCAAGTGGCAGTGTTTCATCTTTTCTTATAGCTGAGTAATATTCCATAGTAAATATATGTAACACATCTCATATCCAATACCTGTTGAAAGTTGTTTCCATCTCTTGGCCACCATGAATAATGCTGCATTGTACATACAGGCGCATACATATTTGCAAGTAAATATTTTCATTCCTTTTCCCCAGGAGGATTGCTGGGTCATATGGTAGCTCTATTCTTAAATTTGGGGGGGAACCTCATACTGTTTCCCATAGTGGCTGTGCCAGTTTACATTCCCACCAGTCTGAACAGCGGTTCCTTTTCTCAACAACCTCGAGAAACAACACTTGTTATTACCCGTGCTGTTGATAGTAGCCATTCTAACAGGTGTGAGGTGGTATCTCATTGTAGTTTTTGATTTGCATTTCCCTATACCTAGTGAAGTTGAACATCTTTTCATATATCTGTTGGCAATTTGTATGTCTTCTTGGGAGAGGTGTTTAAGTCCTCTGCCCATTTTTAAAATTGGATTGTTTGCTTATTGAGTTGTATGAGTTTTTTATCTAAATTCTGGATATTAACACCTCATTGGAGATGTTTGCTTGTAGAGATCATATCCCATTCACTTGGTTGCCATTTTATTTTGATTGAATCTTTAATTTTTTATTAAGTATTCTATTGATGCTGTTACAGTTGTCCCACTTTTTCCCCTTTACCCCCCTATACCCAGCCCATCCCAAACTCCCATACTCAATTCCGACATTATTGTCCATGTCAGTGGGTCATTCATATATGTTCTTTGACTAATACCTTTTTATTTTGTTAGCAGTTTGCTGTACAGAAGCTTTTTAGTTTGATATAGTCCCATCCATTTGTTTTTGGCTTTACTTCCTTTGCCTTTGGGACCAAATTCATTAAAATGTTCCCCATGGCCAAAGTCTATAGTTTAGTATCTGTTTTCTTCCATGTAATAAATTGTTTCAGAGCTTATATTTGAGTCTTTGATCCATTTAACTTTTGTACATGGGACAAACTGTAGTCCAGTTTCCTTGTTTTGCATGTGGCTTTCCAGTTTTCCCAGCGCCATTTATTGAAAAGGCTTTCTTTTGTCCATTATGTTTTTGGCTCCTTTATCAAAAATGACTTGCCCACGTACATGTGGTTTTATTTCTAGGCTCTCAATTCTGTTCCACTGGTCTCTGCGTCTGTTTTTCTGCCAATACCATGTTGTTTTGATTTTCATTGAAGTCAGGGAATGTGATGCCTCCAGATTCGCTTTTTTCTCAGGATTGCTTTGACTATTCAGGATCTTTTGTTGTTCCACATAAATAATGTCACTGAGCTTTTGATGAAGATTGCATGAAATCTGTATATTGCTTTGGGTAATTATGCAAGTGTTTGTGGTATACGTTATACCACAAACACATTTGATACAGTCACACATTTACAGATTTCTACCTGTCAAACTTTTAAGGCTGCCCCATAATAGTCAGAAAGCAAAGCGTAATCATATTAGACCTTGGAGCCAACAGAAAGAGTCAGATTGGTGTTGAGCTGGTAGTTACTGTTAAAAAAAAAGCAAGCACTGGCTCATGTGGCTCAGTGGATTGAGCACCAGCCTGAGAACCAAAGGGTCACTGGTTCAATTCCCAGTCAGGGCACATGACTGTCTTGTGGGCCAGGTCCCCAGCTGGGGGCATGCAAAAGGTAACCACACGTTGTTATTTCTCAACCTCTCTTCCCTTTCTCTAAAATAAAATAAAATCTTAAAACAAAAAATGACTATAGCACTTGTAGGGGAAATGAGAACAACAATTCTGTTTGCCTTCAATTTTCATCTGTAAATTATGAGTCAAGCCTGTTTGCTAAAAATGAGAGGGGAAAGAACTAAGGTGAAAAGAAATGAAAAAACTTCATAGTTGGTATGGGGAATGTAAGAAAGATGTAAGACTGTAAATAAAAGGCTTGTTGAAAGCTATAAATTGTTTTCATCAGCAGTTGTATTCTTAAAGTTACCAACTTAACGATTCCATGTGGACAGTGAAGGAAGTGACTAGGAAGGAGTAAAAGGTGTAACAAATGGGAGTCCAGGGAGAAGAAGTCTCAGTGAGTTTTGGAAAAGAGGCAACAGCAAGATAGAGATGGGAAAGAGCACAAATAGAACAATAAACAATAAGGAAAACCGTAATTTCCTGGAATATTTTTATTTGATATTTGTTTCCTTTAAACGTTTGAAGCTTTTTGTCCATCTCTCTGGGTGTCCACCATTGTCTTTTTTACAAATGGAAAAGAAAACACTTTTTAAAGATTGAAACACCTCTTAAATTAATTTTTTCAGTTGCTGTTTAATTTGTGGATAAAAGTATGGTAGTTAATATGGACTTGTAATTATTTTGTATTCAAACAGGAATGAATGTGATAAATATGTTTTTCATATGCAAAAAAAACATAAAAGTAAAGGTGGCATTGTCTGGGGCAATATCAAGAAAAAAACAGTAAGTACTTTTTTCTTCACACCAGATTTATTCAATGCATATCTAGTGAACAGCTATACTACATGGCAAATTGGGGGAGTCATAAGTTATGTAACAGATCTTTCCCTCAAGGTGCTTACAGACTAATACAAGTAAATGAGAATACAAGGCTGTGGATGAGGTAAGTACAGTACATAAGTGCTATAGGGTTACAAGTGGCAGTTGAATACACTAAAGCATTTGAGGAAAATGAGAATGGTAAAATATTTCATTCAAAGATGCCCAGTAGGGAAAGTATGTATAGACCAGGGAGGGATATTTCAAGCAAGACACAAAAGCATAACATCTGTCCAATGATAAGGGAAAGATCCAGACTAAGTGTTATGACCATCACAGAATAAGAAACTCCACCAAATCCCATCCAGCTTCAAGATGGTTTCATATGTTTTTCAGATTCAACTACATGATTTATATCTATAGATCAAGATTTAAAATGTAATTACAGAAAAATTTTATCTCAGTTGCCTTATCCCTTTGATAAAAATATTGGGAGAGTCCTTTATCCTCTTGAATTAATTTTTAAATATTTAGTTTGCTTTTACTTTGGATATCCAGATAAATGTGCAAGTATTCTGAAAAAACTAATTCACCTCAAATTTCTTCAAAGTAAATAGCTAATCTTAGAGAATGAGTTTATAGAGGTAGTAGAATGGCGATCTGATGCCTTACCCCCTGAAGGTGTACGCCTTCTGACCAAGTCACGGCCATCTCTTCCTCCCTGGCCCATGTTGAAATATATTGCACACTTGCCGGAGTAAAACTCCATCAGAGAGTCTCAAAACTAAACATTGGGATTACTTAAATCATACCCAGTCTTTATAAGTATCACTTGTCCACAGAGAATGATACCTATAGGAACCTTGGGTTAAAATTAGCCTGGAGACTAAATTCTTCAAAAGAAATCTCTACTCCATAATTGAAGGTATAGGCAGACTCCTCTCTTGGTGTTTAGGTTCCCCTTTTCCGGCCCCACATTCCTTATGGAAATGAAATTTTGGTTTGTTGCAAAGGACTAGGAATCACTATAACATAGGGAGAAAGACTTGCTTTCTAGTCTGTTTTGCCAGTAGAAGTTGGTTTGCCTTGACAGGTGTTTCTCAAACTTTAATGTGCATGAAAGTCGCCTGGGGATTTTGTTAAACCCTAGGATCTGATCCAGTAGATTTGATTCTGCATTTCTAACAACCTCCAGGTGATGCCCCTACTACTCACCCACAGACCATACTGAGTAGTAGCAAGACCGTCATCCACTATTCTCTTAAAAATGATAAGTTCTGCCCTGGCCTGTGTGGCTCAGTTGGTTGGGTGTCATTCTGCAAAGCAAAGATCACTGGTTCAATTGCCAGTGGGGGCACATGCCTGGGTTGAGTTCAATTCCCAGTTGGGGCATATACAAGGGGCAAATGATTGATGTTTCTTTCCCTCTACTCCCTCTCCAATCTTGTCTAAAAATTTTCTTAAATGAGAAAAAGTTTATATATAAGCCCTTCCTATGAAAAACATACCACTGTATTTCTGGCATCATTTTAACTACTTGTTTACTTTTGTTTTTCTAAGTGGGTTATAATTTGAGCCACCAAACTATAGTATCTTTGTGATTTAGCCCAATTTTTTCATAGACTAATATTTGTAGCCAGTGTGTAAGGAAAAGAGCAAAGGATTTAATGTTGAAAGTTCTAGTGTTAAGGTCTGACTTCATACCAGCTTTATGACAAAGGAGGCTACTGGAGCTTTCTAATCTCATTTTTCATTTTATGACCTCTGGGGGTCATGGCAATAATTGGTTTCTTTCTCCAAATGACTTTGAGAGCTAAAAAATATAACCCTGTTTTCACTCATTTCACAGGAAAAAAATATATTTACATCCCATTTTCTGAACATGGGTTTGTATCTCAAGTTTTCTTTAAAAAAAACAAAAAATTTCCCTTAGAATAGTGGCTATACTATCATGTTTTCTTTTGTATTCTCTTTATTTTAATTCATTAAAGATAATCAACAATGGCCAATAGTTTAGAAAGCACTCATGTATGTAAGCGTGTATTATATACATCTTAAAGCTTACAAAATTAAAAAAAAAACTTTTAGCTTATTCTACCATTATTACTGCAACCACTAGGGAATATTCTATGTCAATTTTCAAACCATAAAATATTCCCTAGTGGTTGCAGTACCTGTTCACTTACCCACTGTAGCCAAGATTTTGTAAAGTACAGAGAATTTGCTCTGGCTGGTGGCTCATTTGGTTGGAGCATCATCCCGTGCACCAAAGGGTTACAGGTTGAAACCTGGTACAGCTCAGTCCCCAGTTGAAGGTTCAGTCCCCAGTTGAAGGATATATGGGAGGCAACCAACTGATGTCTCTGTCTCATCAATAAACATACCCTCAAGTAAGGATTTAAACAAAATTAAATTAAAAATAATAAAGTATAGGGAACTTTACAATATTCCTAGAGTAATGTCATGGAATAAGTACTCAGTAGATTTTGGCAACTTCAGGGGCCCACAGACATCTTTTGACTGCTGCTACATTAATTGGTAATGTGGGAAACAACACCGAGTTAAGTCGTGGTTCTTGCCCCAGATAAATTCAACCTGAAAGGAAATTAGACATTTCAGAGATAATCATACTGGGACTAGATGTTTGTAAGTACTCTGGACTCTGAGGATAAAGTATGCTTAATTCTGTCCACGTTTGAGACGGGCTTCATAGGAGGTGCCATTTTGCTGTTGATCTGAAATGTCTTACAGGTTAAAAGTGATTTTTCAACTCCAAGAGCAAGAAGAAAAACCCCATTTAACAAAGGTAATACACTTATATCTTTCTTTTTGTATTTCAGTTCTGTTATAGGGAAGTCTCTTTATTAACATGGTACTAAAATTAACAGCTCAAGTGGGCAGGCCTACCATTTTGTTTATTTTAATTATTTTTGTTAAAATTGAAATTACTTTTAGAAACGTATTATTCTTTTTTATTGAACTTAGGAGAAAACGCTAATATTGGAAAACTGTTCATTAATGCCATGGAGTCTTTGGATGAAGAAGAGAAAGATTATTATTTTTCAAACTCTGATTCTGCATAGTAAAAATGAGAAAATATTTCCAGTATTTCTTATCAAGAAGCAGACAGTTCTTTGTACCTTCACTTGGAGTACATATATTTTCTTTGTAATATAGCTTCTTTTGAAATTGTGGGCTCCTTTTCAAAGGTTGTACATGTTTGTATTCAAAGCTAAAGATCCTTCTCGAGAATATTTGCCATTGCTGCAGCTTACTAAAACTGAAAGGAAAGTTGCTGTATAGGTATTTTTAAATTTGTTTTTGCTATGTTAAAATATATGTATGTGTAAATGGTCTCATAAGCATCTAAGTCTGTTTAAGAAAATCATGTTCCAAAGTGAATTGTTTAAAAGCTTTCAAGAACATGTTATTTTTAAGGGAGGAGGTGAGGAAGAATAAAAGATAGATTGTACTGGTAGCTACTGAATAACACGTTAACATTTTTCAGTACTTCATATATAGGCCAGAGTTGAAATGATGTTTACATGTTTTTGAAACCATCTGATATGCTTTCTTTTCTCCCGATTGTTTTTCTTAAAACTTGTGATTGGTATATCTATTGAACCTATGTAAATTTTAATTTATTTCTTTTTCATTATTGTATTAGACAGGGTCAGAGAATACATTTCGTTGCATTCTTAAGCCTTATTTACATATGCAAACAGCTTAATTTTGGTCCCAGTATTAAAAAGACTAGATGAGACAAATGTTCAAGGGGTAGGTCTGCTGTTCTCAAGTTAACATGTCACAGTAAACATTGTTTTCCTCTCAGATAGCTCTTTTAGGGGGAGAAAAATCTTATTTTAGCTTATTCTGCCATTATGTTTTCAAATTTGACATAGAATGTTGCTCTGTGGTTACAGTACATGTTCATCTACCCTTCTCTCCAGTTAGGTTGTTCAAATAAAATTAGTTTGCTTTTATATATTTGCATTCTGGTGTTTTTTTTCCCCTCAGACCTTGTTAATAAAGAACTGACAGTAACCAGAAGGGAGGGGAGAAGGCGGAAACGGGGGAAAATAGGGGAAGGGCCATCAAGGAACATGGACAAAGGACACGTGGACAAAGCCAAAGGGGGGAGGATTGAGGGTGGGAGGCAGGGATGGGTGGGGCGGAGGAAATGGAGACAATTGTACTTGAACAAAATTACAGATTTTCTTGTATCTTAAGAACTTAGTCTAATAACCAGCAGTTACATAATAATAGGGTTCAGAGAAAGATGATATTTAAGAAGAACTGTGCAGTCAGACTGAGATCATTCTCCTTTAAATTCCCATGCCTGTTTCTGCCAGAAGCTTGCCGCACAGATGTGGTGTGGAACAAATGAAGGTTATTTTAGAGTGGCTGTAAAAAATAGAGTTGTAGAGGTGAAGCTGCCAGTATTTACTATAATACCATGCTGCTTGATGTTAACAGATAGTGTTTTAGGAGTTAGAAGGTAGTTAAATTCCTTAATGGGAAACAAAAAGATCATTTTGAAATAGCATAGACTTGATACAAACCAAAGTGTGACCACCTCCTGCCCCCACACTCACCATAGTCCCTGTGTCCTATCAGAACTACTTGTCAGTCCTTCCTAGTCGAATTTTATTGTATCCCACCTGCCAAGTTCCAGGTTGGTCCCATTTCTTTCCCTGAGGCCATAAGGTAAGCTGGCAGGGTTTAAGGTAACCTCCAAAGAAGACTTACAAGTAGAAAAGAAAGACTTTAAGGGCTCAAAGAAAAATAGTAAGATGGAGTAATAACCAATAGGTTGATACTTAAGTGCTACCAATGAGACCTACTGCAGCTTAAATAAGAATAAAGCTCTTTACACAGCAAGCATAGATAAATCCTCTAGTTTATATTCCTCACACCACGTTAATCATCAGCCCAGGTCAGCATGAGGTTTTTGAGGAACTAACTGCATGCTTGCTACAAACAGCTGGGCAGAACACTACCAGGTATCCTCTCCCCGACCACATGCACTGCTGGCACTGTGTCGGGAGCAGGAAAGCGAAACAGCAAACGAACCAGAAAGAGACAAAATGGAAATCATTCTCACTATAGGGAGAAATGCTCCGGAAGTCAGTCCATTATGGTAGAGGTACATACCGAAGGGTGAACTGAACCTGAGGGAGAATAGATTGCTAACTGCCATCAGCCAGTAACTCACACAGCCTCTGTTCTCCCTGGCTTTGACAATTAGTGAACAAAAATAGGAGATCGTTTGCTTTCCAAAGAATTGACAATTTATACTGTCCCAAAGGAGCTAAACGTACAATTATAGTAACATTTTAGCATCTAGTATCTAGTTCCTATGTTCTGGTCCTAGATTTCCATAAATCACATGTTTCTGGGCCTCACTTTTATCATCTGATAACAAAGGAAAAAGAAAAACGATTTGAATTAGTTAAGCTCTGAAGTGCTGCCAAGTTTAAGGTAAGAAAGTGCTCTGCTGTGACACTGGCTTGAAAACCCAACAGTGACAAAAAAAGCAACCAGAGAGTAAAGGAACATAAATGGGGGGAAACGTCCAGGAAAGGCTGCTCCAGCACTAGCACGACTAGAAGGGCCTTTACTGTTGCAGGTAAGAACATGGTGCCGTCTTCAAACAGGAACAGCCCCACAAACGGGTGGGTCACAGTGAAAGGCCACATTCAGTAGCTCATCTACAAAGAAAATTTTCCAAGTCTAAACCCACATTATTAGCTCTTTGAATATGATATTTTAAAGATTTTATTTTTTTTTAAAGAGAGGGGAGAGAGGGAGAGAATCATTGATGTGCAAGAGAGAAACATCGATCAGTGGTCACGTGCCCCAAATTAGAGGCCTGGCACACAACCTAGGCATGTGCCGACCAGGAACCAAACCAGCGACTTTGGTTCGCAGGCTGGCCTCGAGCCACTGAGCCACTGAGCTACACCAGTCAGGGCTACACTAACAGGATTTGACCTCTGGATCCGGCTACCTGTGGTAAGATTAATATACTCAGTTACACTTTCAACTTTCCTAGTTACTGGGCCATTCCTCTCACAATACACCCAAACTTTATCCAATGTCTATGTAGATTCAGGACATGTAAAATATTCTAGATCCTAGAGGAAAATTTGTTTATGACCATTAAGTTGGCAGAAGTCAGATGCATCAGCCTATTAAGCTAAAAAATGACAATAGTACAAAAATCTGGAAAAATTCCAAAATCAAATGTACTCTAGCTTTTACTTGCCTAATAGCACTTTTAATAACCTCAATAAAAATACAGTTTCATAGTTCGGTTAATCAAATGATTACTGAACACCAGGTTTTTAAAAATATATAACCTATGTAAATAAAAAATACAATATAAAATAACATGGAAATTTCTCTTGTGTACATATCTTAAGCTGGTAACCACAAACCACAGCAATGATTATTTTGGTGCATTCAGTGATGTGACAGTCCTTTGATAACCACACCTGAGCAGTCTGATCGTGCATCGGATTTCCGTCTACCTTGGTCAAGACCATTTGGTAACATCTGCATGTCAAAAACATGGCGAATATATCTACAGATCTCCTCGGCCTTTTGATGCGTTACTTGTGCACACATGGAGATTTCCTGAGGTGAGCTGGAAAATAAATTAGACCAAGAGAAACATTACACTAGAACTTTTTGACTTATAAAATTTAGTATGTTGCTTAAAGACCACCAAATGTAAAAGCCTTTAAGATAATAATCTCTTCCTAAGAATTCTATATCCAGTTAATGTTTTTAGCATTAGTTGTATTCCATATATTTAAAGTCATATATAACAATTTCAACCTCTAACCTATTTTCTAAAATCTTCCTTTTCAAGCAATGTAATAATCAAAAAATAGCAAATGATCAGCTTGAATATTTTTCTAGTTACAGAACTAAACATCTACAGAATTGTTAGAATGCAACATCTGATGTAATTGCTCTCTGTCTAGTTCCATATAGAGCTCCAAGCTCCTCCAAAGCAGTGCCTGTCCTTTTTCCCTGCACTGGTGTCCTCTCCTTCATGAGTGACGATTACAGGCTGGCAAGCAGAAAAGTCTCTCCTGAATGAAAAGCTCTAACAGTCGACTCATGTACCTTTTTCAAAAAAACATTAAAATGTGTATGAAATGCTTTTAAGTAGCCATCTAAAAACATTAAAACAGACATACATACCTGTTAGTCATCTTTTTCACAGATGAAAACTGGTGACACATATTTAATGCAGTTATATAACTTACATTGGGAATACTTAGATAAAATCGAAGTGCTTCCCATTTATTGCTGTTCACTGTTGGAACTTGAATACCGACATTCTTTCTTTGTTCCAATAGAGACAGTTCCTTTAGCAAATCTGCCGTTTCTTCCTGGCAGGAACTGAAAAGAATTCGAATTCCAGCACCAACTAAAGTGGTCAGCAGGTTGTCATAGCTCTTTGTTCTCTTAAACATCCTGGAGGTGTCTCCTAAGTATTTCACATTTAGAAAAATGCAAACCTTAGTAACTTACATTAACTAGAATCATTAACACTATATAATATTAGAAGTCCCAAGATCTTCACCATTAAGGAAAATAGTGCCACATTATTATGCTAATGAAAACCCTACAGCTAAAGATTTAAATTGTCCAATATCTGAGATAAAACACAGAAACCTGTCTCTATGAGTGTCTTGAATTGGAATCAACATAGGAAAGAGAGTAGGCAGGAAATTCTATTCCTAGATAATTCATTCCTAAAGGCCAAGAGCACACTACTTATGTCTAATAAAATTCTTCATAATGCTAGCACTGATGAAGAGGTAAGTACTGGTTTAACTGGTATAAAATTGTCTTACGCATTTATTTCAACAGTAACTCAATACTCTGCAGACCCATTTTAATGTCATCTTTAGCTCTTGCCTATTAATTTACTTCCCTAAATTTCCCATTCATTTTCTTCCCATATTTTACCCATATTCTTTTTGGGCATGCTTTGTACTCCAAAAGAAAAGATATTTTTCTGTAACTTGTCATGTTACTTCCCTCTTTATTCCAAATCTATTTC